CTGCAGACTGTACCTGGGTGGAACTCTGGAGGAGCCTGGTGGCTCATCATGGATCCCTGGGCCTGGCACTCAGCAGGTAGGTGCTCCCCAACCTGTGTGGACCGATGATATATACCATGGATGTTTCTCTCACTTGTAAATTAAATCTGTAAGATCTGGAAATGCATTACCTTGAGCTTAAGATCTCAACTGCCCCAGGTGAACCTGAGAGCTCCCAGGTATGCAGTCACAGCTTTTCTACTTCCTGCCCTGATCCAGGTCACAATGCTGAATGCTAGAGCATGAATCAATACATGTTGTTTGACTTAATTCTCATAATAATCCTGAGGCAGATATAATTATTATCTTCTTTAGAAATGATAACATTAAGGATCAGAGAGGGGAGCAGCTGGCCCAAGGACACACAGCCAATAAGGGGTGGGGCCAAGATTCAAAGGCAAGTTCAGCTCAAGGGTCCTGGGCACTTGTTTCTTCTACTTGTGGCAGGTAGGGCTTGTTTAGGGAATTGTAGGGTCTCTGTGATAACTCTCTCCCCCAGGGACTTCCTCCCACTCCAATGTAAAATGTAGAGTCATCTGGTCAGTGAGCTACAGAGGGACAATCGTCAGGGGCCTGTCTGGTCTACCTGAAGGGGAAGCCGAGTCAGTTCCTTGGGATCAAAGGGTCATTAATGAACCACCTACCAAGAGCCTTCTGTGTCTTGGCTGATTGGGGTCTTGTTCGCCAGGTTCCTGGTTAAAAATCCTCCAGAAAAGGAGAGACCCCTGACCTGGGGAGAGAGATACCGGGGTCACCAGAGCCGATCTGCCACTGAAATCTTCTCATCAACCCCAGTACCTGCAGGGAGTTCAGGTGTCCCCAAATCCACCCTGGAAGCTGGAATGTGGTTGTCTAAACCAACATTGCTGGTGGATGTGGGGACACAGGACACTGGAACACTGTGAGTCCTGCTGGTAGCCACTTTAGAGAGGAAAACTGCAGAGCAGAAAGTGAGTTGAGAAGGAAGAGTCTAAAACAGAGCTGGAGCCCACTCCATCCAGCGTCTGGGAGGGACGGTCCATCAGTAGGGGACAAGAGGCTGTCACTGGCATAGGCTCCCTCTCAGAGCCTAGAGATTAGGTGACTTGTCCAAGTTCATACCTGGATAGCAGAGAATCTAAGTTCAGACTCAGATCTGCTGCTATATACTTCACATTTCTTTGGGTTTGTCTCTTGAGGAAGGAAAAACCTTCTGCCTCTTTGTCAAAGAACCAGCCCTACATCGTTCTTCACACCCCTGCTCAAGGGTACCCTCTTCTGCGAAGGTCTCCCTGATCTCTCCCTGCCCCACACCTGTTCTTATGCCTATACTTTTCATGGCAGTAGAGCCTTGTGGTCAAGGGCTTAGGGTCAGGCAGTTGAGGGTTCAAATTTTGGTTCTGCCTTTTACTTAATGTGTGACTTCAAGTAAGTCCCTTCACTGCTCTAAACCTCAACACCTTCCTCTACAAAGTGAGCTAACCATGGTAGCACTGGGTTGTGGTCCGACTATATGGGGTAAAGGACATAAGGAGCCTGGCTTGAAGTAAGTGCTTAAATCATGGAGGCTGCTAGTAGCATCAGTAGTAGTGAAAATAGGTCCTGGCCTGGAGATTCTCAGGCACTCAGCAGGGAGGGTAATTGGCCCTTAATAAACTTCCCAGTTTAGTCCAGGCAGGGCAGCAAAGTGCTGGGACACACCTCCTTCACATGCTTTCTCTCCCCCCAGGCACACCAGTTTTCACTTCACTTTTTAGCACCTTTGCTGGAAGAATCTGAACTTATAGGTGCCTTTTAGAAGGATGCCACCTTGTGGCTGAATGAGAACCTACTTTGGGGGGAAGGAGGGACTGCAGTTCTCAGTCCTTAATAGTTGGCATTTTGAGCATTAGTCTTCCTTTTTAGGGAGGTTGGACCTCCATTTTGTAGGTTCATCCAGCTCAATCTGTTGAGGAGCTACTATGTGTTGGCCACTGTGCCTGGTGTTCAAGATACAAGAGTGAAGAACAAAAACCTTGCCTTCATGGAGTTTATAATCTAGCAGAGGGACAGGAAACAAGCACAGAGTATATAATGTATCCAGGGAGACAGAATAAGAAGGAAAATAAAGCAGGGCACGGAGGGCATGTGACGGCAGGGGCGGGGGGTGGGTGGGAGGGGATGTGTGAGGGGGCCAGCAGTGAGATCAGTGCAGTTGTCTAAGAGATAATGGAGGCCGGGCCAGGGAGATCCCAGGGGAAAGATAACAAGTGGCTAGATTTGGGATGCATTTGCCAAATTTGGAACCTGGAGGACTTGCTGGTGGACTGGACATGGGGTGATGCGTGAGGTTGCTGAGATGTCATCACACGGTGCAGGCGCTTGCTCAGAAATGGACCCAGGTTGGACACTAGAAATCAAGTGTGTTCTCTCTTCCCCATCCTGTCTCTGCTTCCCCATCCTGTCCTGAGAAGAGTGGAACTGGGAGATGGGAGAGGCAGCCCACAGCCACAGTCCATGACACGGTAGCAAAAATAAAGACCTTTATTTGTCCCCGGGAAACAGAATTCTAACAGTCGTTCTCTCTGAAAATGCTAATGGTTAAGAGCAGCAGGGAACCCACATTTCAGCTGCTCCCCTTAAATGAGCTCAGTCAGTTGGTGGGTGCGGGCATGCTTTGTGTTGTTGGTGGGCAGAGAAAGGGCACTGTTGCTTTGGAGGCTGATGCCATCCAAAGCTGTGACCAGTCCAAAGTCACCCCACACACCTCCTGGGCCATCTCCTGAGGAAGCAACCAGGTGTGCCCCCAACTGTCCCTAAGGGCTTGTTCAGAAAGGGGTGGTATATAAGACCAAATAGACAGTTTTCATGCCTCACAGTGAAGACTGGATTCAACTGAACGCCTCAGGGCATCAGCTTGACAGCTTGTATTTTTCACTCAGCGATGAACTTTGGGTATCTTTCCATAGGGATGTCTCAGGTTTTGTAACATAACCTTGGCCCAGCTCACTTAATGCCAGGAGGTTCCCTTTACTTACTGACCAATTTTGGGCATGATTCACAATGTGCTCTCAGATTCACAAAACGCTGAGAACTGTCCTGAATTCAGAAGTCTCAGAAGCAGTAGCTGTCCAGTACCCTTTTCTTTGAAAACCAAACCAAACCAAACCAAACCAAACCAAACCAAACCAAACCCATGCAGCCTATGTGGGCAAAGAAACCTTTCCATCTGTGCCATCCAGAACAGAAAACTAGGGCTGAAAACATCCTTACTCAGCCTGGATCCAGACCCCTGGCTCTGTGGTTGGCAAACTCCTGATCCTGGGCCAGAACCCCAGCCTTTTAGAACTACAACAATCAAAGTGGCTGCCTTACTCACTTTCCAGGGATGGGTAGGGAGACAGAGAACTTTGTAAACTATCCTAGGTGATGCAGGTTTTAAGTGGTGTTTTTATAATCTTTTCTGATGTGTGCTAATTAACATAAACAGAAACCCTGAAGAGGGGTGGGAGGGGGCTGAGTGCATGGACACAGGGCAGGGCTTGGGGACAGTGTCTGTGTCTGTATACAGGTGCAGTGGGTGAAGACCAGGAGCTGTGGAAGCAGACCTTACCCCTCATCAGCTGTGTGATCTGGACCTTAGGGACTGTGGTGAGGCATAGAAGCACTTCGGACAGCTGAAGTTATTATACAACTTCCTTCAAAGCAACCATTAGAAAGTACAAAACTCCATTGTCCTCATTCTGGGTTTTAATGGTCAAGGTGACAATAATTTACAAAAATTTTCCAGACCCACTTTTCATTTCCATAGTTACCTCCACCTGCCAATACAGCCTGCCAGTTTGGGTCAGAAGCACCAAGCTAAGTCTCCCTCAGGTTGCGTTTGAAACCCAAGCCCTTCCCAGCTGCAGGCAGTACTACTGGTTCCTGGCTCACTGCAGCGGAGGAAGCAGGAGAGAAAGTGACTGGTGATGACTGCTTGGAAAGAAGACTGGGGTGCGCTGTGACTCAAAACCAGGAGATTCTGAGTCAGTATTGATTCTAAGTCCTTGGTTCATTTGGCTAGGGAGGTGGAAAAGCTTGCCTCCAAGACCCCAGTGAGCCTCCTCTCCCACATGTGCACAAGAAGCACACTCTGGAGGGCAGGGTCTTTACCAGGCTGGGACAGTCATATATAAGTTGCTGGAAGAAAGAATTTGACAGGGCAGAATCTGCCGGACGGAATCTGTGAGACAAAATCTGCACCCAAAGCTATGCACTGGCATTATCTTCAAAATTTATGTAGAGCACTCTGCAAATGCTAAGTCAAAGGTGCTTGTAGCTCAGAAGACCCACACCTTCTTCAAACTGGATATGCCGCACATCATTAGTGAACAGTTCAGGGGCATTTTGATTCTGTTTATCTTCCAGGCAAAGATACCCTGACTCTGAATTCATCTGGTTTGACACAGGCTGTTTGTTTCCCAATAAAAAGTGCCCATCTACCTCCGTAGTGCATTCACGTTTCTACACATGGAGTAAAGGAAATCACCAGGGTGAGATCATCTGGTGATGCAGGAGAGCAGAGCTGACATAGGCAGGTGCAGTTACAATCTCAACTGGCCAAAGTCCAGGGAGCCTGAACTTCTCAGGGTTTGAGTGAAAGGAGCAAAGGGACGTTTTATTTTTACCTGAAGAGGTGGTATTTATCTGGATCTGGCCTCACTCTTCAGGGAATGCTTGCTCTGCCTGGTTTTATACCAGTAAGAGATCATTTCTTGTGGGAGCTTGTGGCTGTAAGCTTTTCTCCAAGCGTGCCACTCCCTTCCCCATAAAGGGAGAAATCCTCTACTGGTCACCTTGGCGAGGGTGATACTGGACCAGTAGACGGTGCCATGAGCAATCTTTATGCAGACAGTATGGAAGAAAGGCGTCCCCCCCCACACTCTGGAGATAAATATGGTTTGAAAGCAACGAACCTGCTTCAGTGGGAGAGGTTCCATACAACATGCTGGTGATAGTCCTTCAATTTTTTTGGTTGTTTTTATTTTTTTCTTTAAAGTTCATTGATCGTCACAAAAACCCAGGTAATGCAACTAAGGAGAAAACAAATGTCCAACCGAGATCTAAGAACCCAGAGCTACGGAGGAGACGTGGCACTGGACTGCTGGGTGTGTGGGGGATGCTGGGAGGGGGGTCCCCACGGGGTGGGGGCCGTGGAGACGGAGGCGAGGATGCCCGCCGGGCCTGAGCGGTTATGTTAACCGCTGCACAATGACGGCGTTGAGCAGGTTGGCTTCCTTCAGGGTCTGGCTCTCGTCAGCCAGCTCTTTGTTCGGGAAGGTAGTCATGAGGACAAAGCTGGTGGCAGCCATGGCCGGTCGGGCATCCACGATGAAGAGTCGGATGTCGCTGATCCTGGTGGAATGGGGGTGAGTGCGGAGGTGAGGTGCGCCCTTCTCGGTGTTGACAACCCCCACCCTAAAAAACGGGTGCTTCACATTTCCCTAAGTCCCCTCCCCTGGCCTCAATCTCCACAGGGCAGCCAGAGCTCTCATTTGGAAGCATACTAGATCATGACCTAAAGCCTTCCCAGTTGTTTCCGTTTTCCTTGGGACGAACAGCAGCATCCTTACTGTGGTGCCAAGGCCCACTTTCATACCACCTTTCTTCTCCTTGCTATCTTCCTCCTTTCAGACTACCATGCCAAGCTTTCTGCCCATGTTTGGGTTCCTCTTCCTCTTGCCTATTCCCTTCCTGTAGTCCTAATCAAACCTTGAGCCTCAGCTTGGATGCCCCTGCTCAGAGCAGCCTTCCCCATACTCCTAATCTCTGTTCCCTGGCCTTTTTCTGTGGCACTGAACAAGGGTGCAATCACAGTTCTGGGATGATCTGATTAAGGTCTATCACTTCTGTAGTCTAGGAATTCTACAAAGAGAGAAAATACTATGTCTCATTTGTGTGTCAGAGGAAGCACTTAAACATAAATTAATGAGAAGGACGGCGGCAGGGAGGCAGCTTTGGAGTGCAGGGGTTCCACTTTAGCACTGTGTCCTGAACCTGACGATCACGAGAATGGATCACCCAGGAACAGACAGGCTTCGCCCCTACAGTGCTGAAAAACTATGCAATTCATAATGTGGCACATTTGAGGGCCTGAACATCCACATGCAATGTGAGACTTGTAGCAGACAGAGCCTGCCACCCAGCTAGTAAGCCTGGGGGCGAGCTGTCCACCGCAGGGAGTGAGCAGCGCATGCTAAATGGCCGGAGTTAATGAAATGAAGCTGAGGCAAAGCACTTAACTCTGTGGAGAGGTTAATCCCATAAGCATCTGAAATGTATCTAGTGAACAAGAAATGTTTGAACAAAGCCTCCATATACTCCTGGGGCTTGTTTTACACTTTTATCCTAACCCTGTCCATGCTCAAGGACTGTCAAGTCATTCACTTGGTGCCACATGTGGCTTCTCATTTAGTTGGTCTGTGAATGATGAAATTTAGACACTGCTATTCCAGAGAAAGGATTTGCTAAATATTGTTACTGGCAACAGTTTGCCCCTGCTGACCATTGCACTAAGCCTCAGAGTTTCCCCGCTGTGTGGGAGGCAGAGTTGTTTTGATCCCCCAGATGATTTGGTGTTCTAGAATCCTCAATGGCCAAATCTAGAAGAGACCTTAACAAGGTAGTGGTTTTTTAGAGTTCCCAAAGGGGAGGGAGGGGGAGGAGATGCTGGCACTGTGGGCCCTCTCCCCTCTATCAAGCATAAGTTAAAAACCTATCTTTTCTGCACTTGGGCGTTAGCCAAGACTTCAAAGAGTTTGGTGGTTAAAAACACCCCCGAGGAATCCGACCCTCTGATTAGACACGAGAAACGAGACCCATATGACCCAGGCTGGATAGAGCAATCCTGGTCACACTTCAAGGAAGAGTGGGGACCAGACTTGCAGGCCTTCCCATCCACTGCCTCCTTTGGGAAATGCGCGGGGTGCCTGCTGGTGTTTACAGGAAGAGCAGTTTCCTGCTTCCCACCCATTGGTGGGAGTCTCTGGGAACCCTCCTACAAAAGCTAGGCCAGAAGGTACCTGTGGCTGTGGTTAAATTTCTGCACCAGCCTCCCGCCGTCGGCAAGCCGTATTTGGATGTTTGTGGTTGGCTGTGACTCATCAATTGAGATGGAAGAGCTGGCTTTGGCTTCGTTTTCTGCCTGCTGGGCTGGAGTGCTGGTATTCAACACCTGGGGGGCAGTGCTGAGGAGAGAGGATTCTATCAGGACACGAAGAGAAATAAAAGTCCCTAGCAGGAAGGAAATCCCATTTCAGTGTCTAGTTCTGCTGATACAAGGAGTGACCCAGTGAGTATTGCTGCCTTCATGGAACTTACAGGCCCAGCAGTATGCGCCTCAAACCCTGAGCTACTGCCAGCCCCCTCATTCCTGAGTAACCTTGGACAAATTTCTCAAGCCACTCTTCCTTGGGGTCGTCCCCTGAACAACAGCTTGAAGGGAGGAAAGCAACACGCATGACGGTCTGGGGTGGAAAACCTAGATCTGAGACTGGAGGACGCAACAGGAGTTTTAGCTCCAAAGAGAAAGGCTCAGGCAGAAGGAGAAAGGGCACTCAGCCTGCAGCTGAGGCAGGCCTGACAGTGCTGATTACTGGGGGATATAAGCGAGGAGTCCAAACTCTTCGCTTGTGATGGAATTTCCAGGGCTGCATTCTCTAGTGCAACCTCTTCCGTATGTACTTCATACTCATGTATAAACTATCACAAAAGGTCCAAGATTTCCCAAAGGGGCATGGTAGGGATAAATTACTCACTAACAATGACACAGCCTCCGTGGAAGTGTTTAGAGCTTGGATCTTAAAATCAATCAGTACCTACTAACTACTGTGAAGGTAGGCGAATTACTTATGCTCCCTTAGCTTCAACAAAGATAGTAACAGAATCTTTAACAAGGGTTAAGTTTACCTCGTCTTGCTCTATTTTTGTGAGGATTAAAAAGGGGGAAATCATATAAAGCACCCAGGGTGGCTAATAGACACAAAATGCACACAGAACTCCAACGCTCCATCATCATTTGGAGATTTACATCTCTCTGCTGTAAGCCACCCAGGCATCTTGTTTGTAGGCTGAGATGCCCTGGCTGACACCTTTGCAGAGGAAAGAGAGATGAGAGCTTGCTGGCTTCCCCAAACCGCTAATTAGTTCACTTCTACACCTCTCTTTTCCTACTGACCACACCTAAAAAGGGCAGGTACAACAAATCCAACTGGAAGTGCTTTCCAAGCGGAAACCTGGAGCTATCTCTGGGAAGGCTTCAGAATGCCACATATTATACCACCAGCAGCAGCACAAGCCACATGCATATTAAGTGAGATGAGAGAACATGCAGTTAAGGCAAATGTATTCGACCTCCACATCCCTTTCCATGTTCCGCTTGCGAACCTCCTGCAGGTCGGGCACTTGATGGGCCCCAGTGTGTGAAATAATGTCCCAAAGCATATATCTAGCCAACAAGTCCTGAAGAGAGAACTTCTTTTTGGTGAATGAAAAATATGGGCTTAGAGAATTGCAAAGTGGAGCTCAGAAGAGAGACTACTGGCTATGCTATGCGAGCAATGAGAGGAGATCTATGCGTCACAGCATGTGGGATAAGCCACACCACCACAGGCCTCAAGAGATGCTTGGAAATAGTGAAATTTAAAAATTATACTGTAGGGCCTCCCTAGTGGCGCAAGGGTAAAAGACTCAGCACTATCAAGCTATTGCCAGCCACTGTGGCAGGAGTTCGATCTCTGGCTAGGGAGCTAACCCACATGGCGCAGCAGACCTCTCCTGTCTCACCTGCTGCTCCCCTTAGCAGTGTATTTCAGTGGATCCACCTGTTCTGCTCCCCACTCGGTCTCTGGTAAATCCTCTCCCCTGCCCCCCCCACACCGCTAGTCTATATCCTACTTCTTGTATGCATAAATAAAAATAAAATCTTAAAAATAAATAAAATTACACAGTAAATGCTTAAGATCTACTATTTTCATTAGTTCTATGGGCAATAGGCCAAGTTTAATTAGACTGTAGGCAGCTTATTCTTTAATTATTTATAACAAATTCAAGTGTAGAACAGGTATTCACTGAAGCTATTGTGTTGATCAGAAAGAGAACTCAGCATGGCCTCAGAGAGTCATTATAACCCTCCCTTGGAGGGCATTACCTCTACTTTACAGGTAAAAAAACAGAAGCTCCTATTGTAGAGCTATTTTAAATTTTTACAAAAGTTATGCAATGTATAAGTTTTCTCCCTTGATATTCTGTGCAGTCAGTCCTATTAGTCAGAACTTTGTCAAGTTTTACACTGGAAATGCTTTTTCATACTTCTCCCTTGGTCCCAGACAACCCACTTATGAGCTGTGGCCCTCAGCAAGTTATTGAGCATCTTCACTTCTCAATTTCCTTTTCTATAAAATAGAAATACTGGCCCCATCACCACTGTAATATGTTAGGGTAGGGAGTCCACCAAATGGAAGTCACTGTTTCTAAGGAAGCCAGTGTGATACTGGAGAAATAGCACAAGACACACCATCTGGTCCCAGCTCCACTGATGACCTAAACAAGAGGTGTGATCTTGAGGAAGTTCCCAGGGCTCAGAGTCTCCAGGTGTAACAACACAAGGACTGATGGGTTGTGAGAATTAGAGATGACAAGTGCAGAAAGCTTAACACATGCTAGATATTTAGCAAGTCCTCCACACAAGGAGGCAACAAATGTTTTTGGCATTTTTCCCAGCATAGCCTCTTGCACAGAGCTGGTGCTCAGCATTTGAGAGTCAAAAGAATGGCAGATGTGTTGCTTCTAATTACTTTTCTTACACACGCTAAAAATAAGGTGAGTTGGGGAAGCATGAAGAACAAGGTGTACATTTATGGAGAGCCCATTCTCGAGCTGGGTCTCTGTGTCCTGCACCTTGTATGTATTCATTCTTCCCTGTCTCACAATAGTTCATGAGGTGATGAGTCATCACTTCCACTATTGATGAGAAAACTTAGGGATGAAGCATCTTGTCTCAAATCCATGTGAGAACATCTAGGATGCAATACAGTATGATGAGTAAGAATGGGGACGGTTAATACCAAAGCCCATGTTTTCCATACTCTTTCTCCAATAAAAATGAAACCTGAAGTACTATGAACAATACAGAGCTATGCAAAGTGAGTGACTAGGGTCTGCTGCAGTGACTATCTCCCGCCCCGTTCTGCTCCTTCTCCGCCTCACCTGCCCAGTTTCTGACCCTCGCCAGTGAAGGCTTTGAAGGCTCCCTTGGGCTTCACAAAGTCCTCATCCCGATGGTCCTCCATGTCCAAGTTCACTTGCCCACCATGGGCTAATCTCCGTAGCTCTGCTGGCACCTCCCTGTGGGAGAAAGGCAATGCTGGGTATAAACAGAGCAGGATGGAAACGACAGGTGCAAGGGGAGAAGAAACTTCTCAGCTTGAATTGTGAAAATTGCTGCGTCTTTACAGAGAACCAGATACTCTAGTGGCTACCTGTATGCCTCTCTCTTCTCTTGTCTGTGTAAATTCACGGCAGAAAGCTTTATTTTATTTGGTCACTTGGTTCTGCCATGGGCCCACACAAATGAACACACAAGGTCTAAGCAGCAGGTCTGTGAATCTGTATCTCAACCTGCACTAATTTTAATCTTTTCTACATTTCTAATAAATATTCAGATCAGTTTCTTTCCCATCTGCCATCTCACTCATGGATATGAACCCTAGAGGGTTTTTCTACTTACCCTCTACGGATAGACTCCAGAAACTGGGCATTGGCTGGGTCTTGGTAGCTTCTGAGTTCACCATTGTCCAGGCTGAATCCACTCTTCCAGAGCTTCAACACTACATGGACCTGTGACAATAGGGAGTAAGCAGTCCAAATACTGTCAGGAAGCTGGCAGGCCCACCAATGTGAACCTGCAAATTAGTAGGTTTTCACTTTTTACTATGCCATTATTAAAACACAGACACATGCATGTATCAGGAAGTCAATCGATAAATAATCAAACAAGTATTAAAATAATATGGCACAGATTAAATGCATGAGCTTTGATAAAAGTCTGCATTTGACTCTGCCACTCACTAGCTAAGTGGCTGTGAGCAAGTGACTCAATAGAGATATGGCTCCCCTATGGTTTGCCAGCATGCTTGGCATACAGGTCATGCTCAACTAAGCTATCACGGCAAATCTACTCATAGACTATTGGGCAGTCATTAAAAATGGTAGCTACAATTTGTTAAAAACTCTTTACACGTATTTATAGGAAAGGGTTTAAGAGGTTAAAAACCAATGTACTAGTAGCTGCTGCTTCTGGTGGATAGGACTTTTATTTTCTCCTTGCTTAACTATTTTGGACTAAAAACCAAAATAATTAAAAACAAATGGTCACAAATAGTATTTGTGATCACAAATGGTATTTGAAAAATGTCTATGGCATAATATTAAAGGGTAAAAAACCCTCAAAACTGCATATATAATATTTCATTTATTATGGGGGGGGGGGACCCTGTGCATGGGGAGGAAAAGGACTAGACAATAGTAGCACAATTTTTAAAAAGCTGTATTTCATGCCTTCAGCGGTCTGAAGCTCAAGTCCTGTAGCCATGCCCCTACCATCAGAGAACTCTGGTTACACTGTCCCTCTGCCTGAGATATCCACGGTGCCCTCAGAAAATGTGTTCATTTATCTACCTTCCCTATTTCCTCCTCATGAGGCCCCACTCCCCCAACAATTTCCTTCGAGCTGCCTTTATTTCTCATAAGCCTCTCAGCTCATGGACAATAGCAAGATCACTGCCTCTAGTGGCTTTGCTTTCAGAAGCTTTTGGTTCATGCCCAACATGTGACCTATCCCTTCTGAAAAATGGCAGAACAGTCTACTTCCTCAAGAAAGGGAGATGCACTCACGTCTTGGCCAGAATGCCGCCTCCTTTCTCCTGCCACATAGGCAGATTCTTCTTCTGGTGCTGCCCCAAGGCGGTAGCCACCACCTGCAAAGGGCTATAAAAGACACACTCATAAACACCTGAGGGGTACCCATGGTGGTGGGGTTACTCAGATATAATGAGTATCTCAAGTTTGTTAATTAGACACTTTCTCTGGGCATCAAACTCAGAGCTAGAGAGCCAGGCAGTATGGGAAATGAACTAAGCGGCTAGGACTGGGGTGAGAATAGAAGGCAAAGTACTGCCTGACTACATAGCTGCTACAAGCTCTAGTTAATCATGGCCTTGTCAGAATCTGGGGCAGAAAACACTAAAGACTTTTTGATTTTCTGAAAGACAGAAATTCAGATTTTATGTAAAGTAGGTGGCTATTAATTCAATAAAATCAAAATAAAGCAAAAGAATTAAGTCAAATTGGACAGGCTAAACAAACAGGTTTATATCCAGATCATAATACACAGGTTCGAAAACTTTTCCCCAAATCTTGATTTCATGTTAAAGGGCGGGAGACACTGCACTCCTCTTCTGCACAGGACAGCGAGTGAGCAAACAAAAACAAAGTCAGCCACCATGGGGTGAGGGAGGCATGGATTCCGCCTTTGGAACCTTAGTCCTGTGGGCACAGAAAATAAACTCCAATGCTCACTCTTGGTTTACTGGTCTCTCCAGGGCTCTTGGTCACTCGCTCCACAGCTACGGCTCCATGCTCCTTGGCACCTTTAAAGAGATCATCCACCAGCTCGTTGGGACTTTTCTTCCTGGGAGGGCCAACAATCTGCTGTCCACTTCGCTCTGAGCCCCCGGCATAAAACCTGTGCAGAAAATACACGTCTAACACCAAATGCACTTAGACAACATGAAGAGAGCACGCGCAGGGCTTTAGCCCAGGGGCTGGGCACATAGAGGCGAAGGATACAATGCCTGTGTTTAAGGAACTTACTGCCTAGAGGGACACATGTAAAGAGGCAGGCATAACATAGTATGAGTAGCAATAAAAGTTAAGTGGTGCTCTAGACACACTGAGGTGGGGGGATGGCAAAGGCTTCCTAGAAAGGGGTCTTTTGGACTGAGTCTTGAAGATGAGGGCAAGCTTTAACAGGTAAAGAAAGCAAGAAAGTGCATTCCAGGCATGCATGACAGCACATCAACTCTGCAGAGTCCCAACTGGGAAGTATACATCTGGTGGCCTCTCCAGGAGACAGCACGTATGGTCAGAAGCAGCTACCACTAGCAGCTCTGAGTTAATGGTGGCAATGGTGTGGTTAGTACAAGCAGCTAGGCTCCAGTGTTGGCTCTGCTGCTGAGTGACCCATGGCAAGCCAGTGCATTGCCTTAAACCTCACTTTGCTTGACTTGAAATGGGAGGGATCACATGCCCTACCTACCTGCTCCTTAAGTCAGGTCGTGAGGTTCAAATCAGCGGATGTATGCAAAAGAACAAGCAAAGAGTAATGCACACATGTGAGGTGGTGTGATACAGCACTGAGAGTTCACCCAAGCCTCACTTTACCTCACTGTTTGTGTCAGCTATACCAGGGACACTGAGGAGAGGGTACTGGAGAAGGTCAGGGAAGTTCAAACACAAGCCCAGGATACCCATAGCAGGTTTTGTAAAGGGTCAGGAATGACTGACTGAGATTCAGTTGGCACTTTTTTACCTGGGCTGAAAACCAGTAGTCACATAACCTGACTACCTGCCTCCTCATCACCCCTATTCACAGGCAAGACAATGGCACTCCCCAGGTAGGGAGAATTGAGAATCTATAATGTTAGTCTTAGCCTTCAATTTCCTGACATTCCCCAGAGAATGTGAGCCAAGGCCATGGGCCTTGGTGAGGAAAACAGCACCAGTGCCATTTCAGGTCTGAAATGCTAAGAGACAAAGGAAGTAAGAGGGAGAGAAATAAAGGAGAGGGAGGAGGAGATCTATTAGGAGCTGGGCATTCACGTACTTCTTGTTAATGCCTCTTACTCAAAAAGCGTAAAACCCTGAAATTAACATTTATTCCTGAGCCTTGAATGTATCTAAAAAGAAGGATCTGAGGTGTACAAAGGTCACTATGTGGATGAAAGCAGAAAACAGAACACAAGTAATTTCTCAGTCTACTTCCCAAAGCGTGACCATGAATAGGAAATTGCCTTTTCAAAATGCTTATTATACAATAATCCTTAGGAATGTTTGACAACTAAGGCAGATTCCTTGGAGAATAAGACCCAAGAAGGTCAGCTATAGTTAGTTTGTTCTTATTCATTCTAAGTAGATGAACTTCTGCTCAATGGATTATAAGATCTTTAACAAAGGGGTCTCAAAGCCTCAAACAAGGAGCATGTAATCAAATGCCTTAAAAATATTCTGGCCCTTGACCCTGCATTTTAAATTCTAGAAACTATTTTAAGAAAATAATCTGAAATGTAGACAAAGATTAATACACAAATTTGTTCACAGCACTGATACTTATTTACAGTGGAAAAAAAAGCAGGAAATAATCTTACTGCTGAAATTCTGTCTGATGGGGGATTATTATAGTCACTAGTAATGCTTCTGAACAATTTTAATGATATGGAGAAAGTGTTTAAGATGTAGCATTAAACTAATAAAAACTGAAACAAAATTATCTGACCATCATTATGTAAAATATGATGTAAAACAAAGTATATTTATGTACAGAACAAAGACTAAATGAAAATATGCAAAAATATTAACCATACTTACCACAAGGTAGATGAGTATTATACTTTAATACACTATTCTGTATTTACTACCATAAACACTAGCTTTATTATAACATTCCTTAAAGTTAGAAACAAATAGTAAGTGTATGTGTATTGGTGAATATGTATTTTGCTCTGCTTTTTCATCTATTAATAAGGTGATATAGAGCTATTTTAATTAAAAAGAAAAAGCTGGAAAGAAATACATCCAAATACTGAAACCTGGTTACCTCTGGGATGTGGTATTATGAAAGACTTTTTCTTATCTATTTCTTTCCCGTGCCCTAATATTCTTGAAAAAATAGTCTTTTAATAACTAAAAACCTAAACCAAACCCAGAATACCAGCAAAAAATAAAAAAATAAAATAAAATATAAAAGGTGAGGGGAGAGGAACCATTTCAGAGAAAGAATGGCAAATAGCATCTACAGTATAATCCGTCCAGACCAGCCCACAGGAGTAATGATGAATGCTAACTGTGCGTGTTTAATCCTGGATGGCTGACATGTTACTATGATTTACACATTGTGATGGACTTTTTTGTGGACTCTGTCCCCCATCAAAGACTCACCTCTGACCCTCCTCTTCCTCCTCATCCTCGTCTTGGTCATGAATAAGGTCTCTAAAGGATGTCACCCTATTATCACTGGAGACACAAAAAGGAACAAAATGATCTCAGGGGGAGTTAAGAAAGGTAACCTCCATCATCAGTGGCTAAGGAGTTGACGACACCAGGGTTATTGTTTTGGCGAGGCAGGAGAAGATCTATGTGGAAGAGGGCTTATTTCTCTAAGTTCATATGCAAAACAATGTGGCATTTGTTTCTTCAAGATCACACAGGTTTGAGAATTTTAAAGCACTATTATGAAATAGATGGTGATAAGTTTAAGTTCAAGTTCCCCTTGGGAGGAGGGGGAATGGGAAGGGGCCTGTAGTACTACTTTAAAAATTTATTACTGGAAAGCTACTTTCATCACTTAATTTTTAAATACTGAGGGAATGCCTATGCGCCAGGCACTGAACCGGAAGCTAGGTTTCTATAAAGACGACCAGACAGTCCTCCTCCTAGACTTGCAGGCTAGGACCATTTCAGCCAGGAAACAACCCATTAAACACGACGCAATGGGGGCTGTGACAGAGGGAAGCACACAGCCTTCCGCTCTGAGTGGGGTGGAGATGAGGGGATATCAAGAAAACTTCCCAGAATGCAACATTTGGAGTGAGCACTGAAGAACCGGTGGATGGCCAGTCTGTTCCAAAGAGGAAGGTGGGGCTACGGGAAAGAGGAACAGCAGGGCGTTATAGGAAAGCAGCATATACAAATCCAGAGACCTGACATTAGACATGGAGGGGGACGAGTAGTCAAGGAGAAATGAAATGAGTATGTGGGCAAGGAGGCTTCTAATTCTGTTATAGGTTAGTCAAGAAAAAGTACTCATCAGTGTTTAGGCAAATAAGTAGAGCTGCGCACGTGTGTGCAGAGGGCACATTAAAAATGGGTGTGAGAAAGGCTAATGCCTCGCTGCCCCTTCTCCCTAGTTTAGACCTGTTCTCAAGGAACCTTAGTTTTTCAAGGATTATGAAACATATTTTACAAAAACATTTTCTACATTTCCTTTCTTTAATATGGGAGGAAGAGGGAACTACAGCTTTACTTAAGCTAGACAGAAAGGAAGGAATTGTTTACTAGGAAGGAAGCCACAGTTTAGTTATGAAGAAACATTTATTTCAAGGAGACAATCAGGGAACAGAACAGGCTTTGAGATTCTATGAGCTAAAAATGGGAGATCAAAGACCAATCGATGCAGCAAATCCATTTCCTGCTAGACTCCTGGGCATTCCTCAGTGCCTATAAGATATAGTTCAAAAGGGTCTCAACGTTAAGATCTGTGCCAGTGTCTTGAAAGGCTAATTCCACTCATTAATCTTCCCGGAGGAGTTTCCCACAGATGCTCAGCCTAACATCTATGGGGGAAAACATCCTCTTTTGTGGGCTAAATGCCTTCAAATACACACATGGACACTTGCTTGAACAAATCGTATACTCTGACTACAGGTTTGATTCTTTCCCTTTAAGTTCTTACACTTAGACCCTGACAGTATCTGACACAGACTCTGGTGTCCACATACTCAGTTTGACCCCAACTCTGCCTCCCATCTTGGGATGTTGGGCATGCTAAGGAAGTTCTCTAAGACTTTTCTAATGTGTAAATGAAGACAGTCACAGTGTCAACCTCACAGTGCTTTGTGAACAGCAGGAGTACCAACACATGTAAAGCCCATTGCATGGTGCAGTACATTTCAAGTACTACACCGGAGCAGTGATTGCCCAAGTTCAGTCCTCAGACCAAGAGTATTCATACTGCCGGTGAAACTGTGGGAAACACAAAGCCTTATGTCCTACTGCAGATCTCTTGGATCACACACTTTAGGGAGTGCCTAGCAATCTGGTTTTAAGGAGCTGTCTAAATATTTCTCACACACACTCAAGCTGGGAACCACTGCCTCTGGAGTAATGATCTGAGAGTTACCTTATGGCTTGGTTGTCCCAGGGACATTACCAATTCAAGAATTCTTTATATTGTGGTTTCCACAAATAAGCAAACTGTCTCAAATCTCAAATTTTCAGCATAAAAAATTCCATCTCCTAGGCGATCCTGCAACCCTGAAGTGGCACAAAAGTCCTCATGTCAGAAAACACTTTCTGCAGCAACAGAAATGCTGTATCTGCACTGTCTAGTATGGAACCTGCCAGTCACATGTGGCTACTATCATCTGAAAAGTGGTTAGTGTGAATACCTGAATGCTTGGTCTACTTAATTTTAATTGAAAGAGCCACACGAGGCCAGTGGTTACCATACTTAATTGTATAGTTTTAGGGACTCAGACAGTAGCAGTTCCTGAAATTTTAAAAAGTATGCTTGTACTGATGAAAAATGAAAAACAATAAAGGGGGTGGAGGGGAAATTAACCTCTACCTCTTGTTTGATCCTGTAAGTGGACAGGTGGAAGCTGCAGGAGAAGGACGTAGCATGTGGCAGAAACAGCTTTGATTACGACATACCAGCTTTTCATTTGCCATAATAGCACCTGTGAGTTACTCAACCTATCTAAGACTCAGCAACCAGACCTGGAAAATGATGAGCACCCTACCTATTTCCAAAGCTGCTGAAGTGTAGAAAGAGAACAGTGGTGTCTAGCAGAGCTACACAGATGGTCAGTGCTCTTAAAATATTAGTCCTCCCACTTCCAGGAATTTACAATTCACTTAAGGGATAAAATTAAGTCAAATATCAAAAGAGTCCAAGAGAAACAATAGTGCATGGTTATGGCTACAGAGTGAATGAACTGTAGTTGTGACTGGAGTCTTGAGGAACAGGATTGTGGTGTACTGTCTAGATAGGGGTTGGAGGTAAAATGCTCAACAAAGAAAGTAGGGCTGGAGCTACACCTGGACGGATGGATGGGATGTGGATAGGCAGAAAGTGAGAGAGCAGGAATGTCCTGGCAGGTGAGAGGCTCAGACAAAAGCAGGAAAACTAGATAAAGAAGAACTGAGACAAATCTGTTTGGTTAGAACAAAGACTTAAATGAGGAAAAGGGGGTGAGACTGGGATGCTTAGTTCAGGGTGACCTAGGAACACCTTGTTCACAAGGAGAGGCAGATATTACATTGTTCTGGCTGAGCCTTTCTAAACTCATTTATAGTATCTCTGTATCATTTTACTTTATCTTCTATTTTTCTAAAGATTTAGTTTTATTTATTTACGCATATAAGAACTGGGGTATAGGCTGGGCGGGAGTGTGTGTGTGTGTGTGTGTGTGTGTGTGTGTGTGTGTGTGAGAGAGAGAGAGAGAGAGAGAGAAAGAGAGAGAGAGAGGATTCACCAGAGACAGAGTGGGGAGCAGAACAGGTGGATCTATTGAACTGCACTGCTAAGGGGAGCAGTGGGGGAGATAGCAGAGGTCTGCTGCACTATGTGGGTTAACTCCCTGGCTGGGGATTGAAACCCCTACGCCACCAGGGAGGCCCTAGTGAGTGGTTTTACTTTAAAAACTTTCAGAGTTAAAAAGTCATTCCTTACGGTTCATAAATAAAGACCCTTAAATATCTTAAAAGTAGGTTCTGTGGTTCCCTCAAGATTAGACCACAAACTAAGGAAAGAAACCAGTCTTACAAGGACCTACTGCCCACCAGTCAGTCTTTCACATGCGAACCCACTAGTCCATATCCCCAGGTCTGAACCCTCTGTCAAATAAGGAATCAATTCCTCATCACTTCTGGAAGCACATCCATGCAGCAATAAAAGTGAAGTTGGTTCTTACCTGGGGGCTGTGCCTCTAGACACTGAGCTGGGGGTTGCCTGTGAAATGGTCACAATATCTTCGTCTCCTCCATCCTCATAAAAGCTTGCCAGGGCAATCTGTAACACAGAGGTTGTAACGTTGCATCCTTTAATAGGCCTTCACTGAATATATATCTCCTTCGAACACAGAGGCACAAAGATATGGCCCACAGTTATAAGGCAGTCTATATTTACGGGCTATAGAAAACTGACCAACAGTCACAACTGTATGTCTTCATATTGCGTGAAACAAATTCCACCTACTAAATGGAAAAGGAGGAGGTTGGGATGGAGACAGTCCTCATGCTTATTGTATTAAGAAATGTGTTCTACACCTGCACCCCTATGTTTATAGCAGCACTGTTTACAATAGCTAAGCTTTGGAAACAACCCAAATGCCCAAAAATAGATGACTGGATCAAGAAGATGTGGTACATATATACCATGGAATATTACTCAGCATTCAAAAAAGATAAACACATGCAATTTGCAGCAACATGGATGGCGCTGGAAGGGATCATGCTCAGGGAAATAAGCCAAAAAGAAAAAGAAAAATACCGGATGGTCTCACTCATAGCAGGAATCTAGAAAACTTAAATAAGGGACCAGGAAAATGAATAACTATAAGAAAGTGAAAATCAAAATCAACAAAAAACTATGAACCAGAGACACTTTTTGGGGGGTGAGGGGCGGGAGGGGAGGGATTGGGGTCAGAATGGGGGGGCTGCAATTGTATGGGGAATATAAAAATGAAATTTATTATTAAAAAAAATAAAAATAATAAGCACAAAAAAAAAAAAATAAAAGGCAAAGGCTAACATGAAAAAAAAAAAAAAAAGAAATGTGTTCTAGTAAAAGCAATATACATTTGAGTATTTTATCATGTATCACATTGTCCTAAACGTAACTACATATGTTAACCCATTAAATCTTCAAAAAACGCTACGTAATAAATACAATTATTATCTTATTTTATAGTTGATACAGAAGCACTGAGAAGTTGAGAAAACAGCCCCAGGTTACACAACTGTTAAGGGGTGTCAGGCTTGATACCAGGCCTCTGTGCAGGCCATCTCAGCTCTGATGTGACAACCAGAAGCCAGAAACTGGGAGGTCAGTCCAGACTGCCACTTTTGCTTGCTCTCTGAGGCCCAATTTCCTAGTCTGTAATAGGGATATAACACCCACCAACCCTGCACAGCAGGAGAGAGGATCTACTAACATTTATGCACAGTCATGTAGCTCTATATATACCAAAGGAATACAGGAGTGCTTTGTGATCAACTTAATGTAGATATTTACCGATCATTTACTTTGCACAAAGAAATAAGAAAGAACACTGAGGACTACAGAGACTCCTGTCTTCAAGGTCACCAGCCTTATGATTTTTTGTAGGACCAACTGGTCTGCTTGGACTAGTGTGCCTTCCTGAAACATAACCAGTCACCTAGAGGTAGTGAGCTTTTACAAACATATCAGGTCTGCTAAGGAGGCATGTGTAGTCACAGGACACCCACTGAGCTAGCACTGAGGGGCCTACATTCAAGCCTTGGCCCTGCCAGGCAAATCACATCACATATAAGAATCTGTTTCCCCCTCTACAGTGGGAGGAAACTGGGGCTGATGATCTGCAAACTGTTAACACTGTGAACTTTTAGGTTTTTCACACAGAAGCTGTGTTTTGCATTTCTGCCCAGCATAGGGGATTAACACCATGGGTCTTTTTATTTTGGAAAATAATTCAAATGGTGGAGTCAGCAGACTCAGTTCAAGTCCCAATCTCACTGTGGCTGTGTGACCTTGGGCATAGCCTCATCTTTACAATGAGGTCAGGTTTATTTACCTCACACTGTTGCTAGCAATAAACAAATCATCATACATAAAGTGCCTGGCCTGTGGAGGTTCAGAGCTTGGGCTCTGGAATCAGGCAGAATTCAAAATCTGTCTCTTCCATTTGATTGCCAGTGAAGCTTTGAGCAAGTCACTCAACCTCCCTAAACCTCAAGCAGCAAAATTCAAAGGTCAAATGACTTGAGTATTAGAACTGTCAGAATAGCACCTAGCTCCTGGTAGATACTTAATAAATATTAACCATGGTCACCTACTTAAGATGAAGTCTCGCCCATCAGACTTCTCTCTACAATTGGAATTCTCTCTACAATTAATTACTGAGTGGCTATTGGTGACAGGCATTTTCTACGCACTGGAGACAACAGTTTACAAAAACCCTGTCTCATATAGCTTATCTTAATGCCCACTTAATTAACACTTACTTAACGAACCCTGTAAGACGTGCAAGTGAACTAGTTTATGATAAACTCCACTACACCTCCATTTTACACGAGTTTAACCAAGACATATGAAGAGGCTCCAACCTTGCGCTCCCACCCCAGCGGTGGTTTCTCCAGCAATCAGGCAGGAGGGGACAGGAGGGGGCGTGGGCCAATTCCCAGGCCCGGCTTCACCCTCCTCCAGACGCCGGGCTTGCTCTAGTCAGAGCTGGTCATTCTCGCCCGTCCGGGCCGCAGACGAGACTCGGCGCCTCAGCCACGCCCCCAGGCTCGCCTGCTCCACGCGGGCTGCGGCAGTGCCCAAAGTATCGCTGACCCCGCGAGCGAGCGAGGCAGACGGGGAAAGCGAGGCCGGGCAGGCATGGGCCGGGGCTGCCCCGCGTTCTCCCATGCCCGAGTCGGGCTGGCGACGCCTGGCAAGCGGCCTCAGGACCCTCTGAGGCCTGACTCGGGCCTCGGCCGGCGGGATGACTGTGCGCTTCGGATATCACGGGCTTGATGCACCAGGCGCCCGTGCCCCGCAGCCTCCGGCCCGCCCGACCCCGCCCGCCTCGCGGCGCTACCTGTAGGTCCCAGCCGGCCGATTCGAGGAAGAAGCGGGCCCGGTCCTCCTCGGCGCCCGTCACAGCCACGAACTCCCTCAGTGCGTCCTGTCGCTCCGCCGCCATCTTCGGCCCGTGCACCGCTCAAACCGCTCCGGCCGCCCCCGCACAGCCTCAGTCCCGCAGCCTCGTTCCGCCGGCCTGTGGACCAGCCCCGCCGAGCGTAGCCCGCCCGCAGGCCCCGCCCCTCGGGGTGCCTCACGCAAAGCCTTCCGTGCGAGAAACTCTCCGCGCCCTCTGGAGGCGGCGGCGAGGACCCGCAGCCTAACGGCGGGGGGGGGGCCGTAGGTACTTGGGAGGTGGGGTGGCTCTTCCGTAAACATGCGGGGTCATTCCCATTTACTTCATCGGCTCATCTCATGTCATTGATCTACTCGTTCGTTCATTCACTTGTTCAATCATTTACTGAATGTTATCAAGGGCGAGGTGCTCTTCCAGGGCCTGGAAATGGATAATGTGCACAACAAAGCCCCGTCCTCTTGTTGCTCATATTCTAAGCAACAAAACCAGACTTTGAACAAATCTCTTTTCTTTCCCAACCCTTCCATGCCTTTGCCTCTTACTCCAAAGTGTCATGACCTGCGAGACCCGTGGGAAATACACCAGCCCCTCCATGTCAGCTCCTGGGCTTCCCACTAGCTTCCTTGGCTCTGGGAGCACTAAGCCGCCCCCGCCGTCCCAACCCCACCCTGTGCTGTTCCAGGAAAGTGTCAGGCATGCATTTGCATCAGAGCCATGTCATTTGCTCCCTCTCTTTCCCTCACTGGGGGTCAAGGTGCTCCCTCACTTTTCTTCAGGTGTCTGCTGACACAACCCTGTCTTTTAGGTCCACAGGTTCTTTGTCTGCTTGCCTCTTGCCTGGGATGCTCTTCTCTTCCTCTCCCCTTTGTCAGTTCTCATCCATGTCCAGGCATCCCTTCCTCAAGGAGGATCCATCAGGTAGTCCCCCATGCACACCCAGTGACACCAGAGGCTATGACTCAAGAGCACGTGCTCTGGACTCTGCTAACCCAGGTGTGAAGCCCAGGTATTACTGCTTGTATGATCGTGGGTTCTAGATGATCTCTCTGTGGCTTCCTGTGAGCTGGCTACTAGCTGGCCACTCATGGGCAACTGTGACCTATTTGCTATCTGCAAATCACAGCACAGCATTCCTGGACTGCCTACGGAGTATAGCCCGTATCACCAGGCAGGCCCGGGGATGCCTTGGCCGCTGTTGACCTGATTATGTGACTACCTCCATGGTGGACTCGGGATAACGCTGCCCGTGATAACATCATATACTTTGCTGATGCAAATGTCTCTTCACTTATGGTCACAATGTCCCCTTCCCTGTCCCTCATAAAACTTTGTCCCCCATTCCAATCCCACCCTCCGGACTTTATTCCTCAAACCGTTTTCACATGATAGGCTTTTTTTAGCCTGTGTGCTTTCAATAAATGGCACAAGAACTTCTGCTCAAGTAGCAGAGTCTTGTCTTGCAAACCTTCACGACTGCTGTGTCCCTCATCACGTCCCCACTGCTAAGCGGCAACAAAATTCCTATTACAACACTCTCTAAGCTTAATTTTCCTGATGTGCTCCGTGGAGATCCTAACACTACCTATGTCGGGTTTAAAGGGTGATGGTGGGAGATGAGATAAGATAGGTGGCAGGGACTAGATCATGTGGGACCCTGCAAGATGAGGAGGTTTCCAGCGCAGAGCAGGAAACCACCTCCAGTATAAAGAGGCCCGGCCCGTGCTATACCATTCCATGCTCCCCTGCTATTAGTTTCCTGCTGTAAAAATTACCACAAACCTGGTGGTTAAAAACAACAAAATTTATTTTCTCCTTGTTCTGGAGGTCAGAAGTCTGCAGTCAGTATCACTGTGCTGAAGTTAAGGTTTCAGCTGGGTCCTGCGCCCTTCAGAGGCTCTGGGGAGAATCTGTTCCTTGTTCCTTCCAGCTTCTGGTGGCTGCTGGCATTCTGTGCCTTGTTATCACCACATCTCTGCCTTTGTGGCTGCACTGCTTTCTCCTCTTCCTCTTCTGTATCAAATCTCCCTCTCTCATCAGCACAATTGTCACTGCATCTAGGGTCCCTCTGGGTAGCACAAGATAGCCTCCCCATTCAAGATCCTTAATTACCCTGGTGAAGTCCTTTTTTTTTTAAGCTAGGGATGAGGACTTAGAGGGTGTGGAGGTGACATTAAGTTTACCCTATTTACCCTTTCTGATTTCTGGTAATTAAACGATGCACTAGCACTCAGATTAAATCAGTGTCTCCTTTGATTTAGGTTTGTTTAAGCTGTTTCTCTGTTGTGATAAGAAACATCCATACTAACCCACTTCCCCACATGGTAGGGACATTTAATAAGTGTTCCCAAGGAAGGGAAGACAGGGCGCTCATAGGGCACATAGCACATGTCCAGCCCTCAGTAAACGCTGATTAGAGTTGGTTGTTAGGGCAGAGACGTCCGCACTATCGTTCTCCATGTTCTGAGAGGTGAAGTGGCCATATAGTTGCTAAGAGCCCATGGGAGAGAGCAGAGGCTTCAGGGATAGCAGTCAGGTGTGTCTGCACTCAGGGCTTGCAACCCTGAGGCCCAGCTAACCATTGTGTGGACTGCTCTGTGCGTTGTAGGACAGGTAGGAGCACCCCTGAACTTTACCCACTAGATGGGGATAGCACCCCCCAAACTGTGACAACCTAGTAGGTTTCTAGATATTGCCAAATGACCCTTGGGGGCAAAAGTCTCTTCTTGAGAACTACTATCCTCCATTGTGAGGCTTTGCTGGAGGGGGTGCCGTGTCAGCTGGGAATTGACTCAGGTGTCCCAGAGAGCAAGTAAGAGGTTATTCACTAATATTTGGAAAATTCTAGCAAAGCACACTGTTGCCAGAATAAAGACTACATTTCCCAGCTTCCTTGCAGGTAGGTATGACCATATGACCACACTCTAGCCAATCAGAGTGAAGGGCACATTCAGCGCTGTGCCCAGGAAGGGGAGGGTTATGCTCCCATTCATTGCCTCTGTTTAGGCCCTGCTGCCTGGGATGTGTACTTAGTAGCAAGAAGGTCAAGGAATCCTGGGTCTTTATATCAAAGATATAGCTTTGCCTGCTTATGCTTGTATAACTGGAAAAATCAACTTTGTCTTTGAAGTCACTGTTATTTAAGAGTTTTATTCAAGTTGCAAAGTCTGCATTCTAACTATTAGAGCTGCCTGAGCCAGCCACAAGGGGAAGGAAAGAATGCAGGAAAAGAGGAAGAGAAAGATATGACTGGAGGGGCCCCAGAGGTCTGACTGGGCGAGCTTAGAGATGCGCCAGGAAACCCTGGGCACTCCAGAGGGGCTGCAGCAGGGACAAGGGCCTTGAGGACAACGAGGTTTGGAACAGGCTGAGAAGAGAGGTAGATACATCAGACGGGAGCCTGGTACATAATGGGGAATTTTACCAGGTGGACGAAATTTAAATAGAAGGATCCAGGAGGATCGAGGAGCATCTGAGGCTGGGATAAAGGCAGAAAAATGGTTTAGGAGCCCTGGGTCCCTCTCTGACTCAGCATATGCTGTGCTAACCCCTTACCCTCACCCTATGCTAAGCACAGCTCTGCTGGGCCTGGGATCTTGATGTCTTATTGCTGGAGACTCCTCCATTGGGCAGCCAGGACTAGCAGGGAAACAGCCAGTGTCACCACCTTCAGTCCCAGGATCACATGTATGAGGACAGACAGGTAGCCTGGAGCACAAAGGGAAGAGCTCAGGAAGGACCTGGTGTAAGGTCCCAGAAGCCCAGACCTCAGTGCTCCTTGTTGGTGAGGTGGGCCCAGCTGCCCTATCATCTCTGGGCCCACATTCTTCCTACACTAGGGGAGGAGACCTCTGTCCAGCGCCTAAAGAAGTTTTGCCCAATAGCCTACCTGTACCTTTCCTCATCTGGACAATATCCCTGACTTCTGACTATAAAAGAAATTGCTTTCACCAACAGGCTGCTCAGCTCTCAGACTCTGAGCTAAATACTTCCAAATAGTCTGATATAGTCCTCAAACATATCTTATGAGGTAAGAGAACAATCTAATTTAAATAGATGAGCATATATACCCAGAGTGGGGAAGTGGCTTGCTCGGCTAAGGCAACATGTGTCAGAGAAGTGACAGGACCAGGTGGGCTGCTCCCAAGAATGGCCATAGCAGGGCTGAGCATCAGGGAGGTTGCCCTGGTCTCTCTAGCTCATCTGGGCATAGGGAGCTCTATCCACCCCCACCCCCCGCCCCAGTTACTGAGTGTCCCTCAGTGCCAACACACAGTGCTGGGCATTTGGCAGATGTGATCTCATTGAATCCATACACAAAGGCGTCCTCGTTCTTATCCCCAGTGCCCCTCCCCACCATGCACAGATCAGGACACCAGAGAGTCCAGGAATTAGGCAACCATGCAACTAGGCTTTTGCAAGCATGCCTGGCTCTGCAACACTGCTCCACACAGTTTCACAGTGACTCCTTGCACTGAATCACAGGGAGCTCATTAACCCTCATATTGCCCACTGAAAAGTTAGCATTGGCTATTAAAGTATTTTTTTTCATTAAGTTTTCAGGTTTGGTAGTTGAGATGGAGTCCAGGGAATTTTCTTGGTGGCAGGTGGATCCTAGAAGTCTGAGACCACTCCCTTCCCATGCCCAACCCAACTTTGGGCCCCTTTGTTTGTGGGGGATTGGTTAACTCCACTGGAGTTAGGTATACTCACCTGGTATAGGTAGCCAGTATTGCCCATGTTCATTGGTGAATTCTGCATCTTGGGGAGATATGGGATTTGCTGCAAGGGAGAAAGATTGTCTCATATTTTCCCCTTTTCTTCCCTTGTCCTGCCACTCCTGAGTTCTGTGTAGGAGCTGGGGGTTACTCAGATGAGTCTGGCAGTTGCTACCTGGGATAGGAGCTGAAAGTCAAACCTGGTAACTATGAAAGGCTCGTTAGACCTGCTTGGGCATCTTTGGGGTAGGGACAATGACTGATTCTTTGCAGTGTCCACAGCACCTAGGTACAGTACAGAGCAGTCAACAGGCATGCAGTATATTTTTGTTGAATCATTAATGGTCTAGTCAAAGTTCTGTGGAGCCCAGAATGGGGAGAAATTAACTCTGCCTGGGAGAAGATTTCACAGAGAGGGGGCTATTTGTTCTGGGTCTTGAAGGGTAAGTAGGAGTTCTACAGAGAAAAAGAGAAAGCATTCCAGGCAGAGGTAAGTGCTTATGTAAAGTCAAGGAGGCTGAGAAGACCTGGCTTGTTTGGGATAAAGCTGTCCCCCCCACCAACATTCTACATCCCCTGTCTTACCGCTCACTCTCAGCCTGGTGCCCTGCCCAGACAGGTATTGTCTGTTGGGTTTCCTCTGAAACTTTACACAGTAGTAGGTGCCTGCATCTTCAACGGAGACGCTTTGGAAAAGAATGCTGAAATCAACACTGGAGGCCTGAACCGCTGTCACATTGGGGTGGGAGATGCCTCCGAAGTTGTAAATGGCTTCCCGGCTCAGACCAGCTCCTCGAAACCACCTGATGGAACCAGGGGGACCATCTCCAAGTACTGTGCAGTTCAGGATGACAGTGTCTCCAGCAATTGCCAGCACCAGCTCCTGGGGCTGGATGATCCAGAGGTCTGGCTCTTGGTCTCCAGCTCCTGAAGCCAAAGAGAGGGTCCTTGTTGATTTCCCTCTCTCACTCCTTTGTCCTCTTATTTCTTCCTTCATATCTTGCCTCACTTACTCCTTGTCTGATGTCTTCCCCCAGCTCCTCCCTTCCCATTCCATCATCATTCACTAGGTGATTCACTCAGTAAGGAAGCAGAGATGCTAAAACTGGGGAAGAGGAAAGCCAGAGGACACACACCTTTCTGTCTGCCACTCCTGAGCCCTTCAGTAGGAGCTGGGGCCCTTATGAAGTGCTCACTCTGTTGGTGGAGACAGCCTAGGAAATCCCTCTGAGGCTGGAAACCCAGAGGACACAGGACCACAGATGAGGCACCTGTCACGACTTGGCAGTGTGCCTGAAATGCTTACTTCATGTTAAAATGAACCTCCCCGCCCCTCCACTGCCCCAATGTTTTTTGTATTAACAGTTCACAGAATGGCTTCACAAACATCTTTCTTCTGTTTTCTATACCTGAATGGCCCTTGAAGTAGGAATTATGTTGTTTACTTTACCAATGAAACACCTGAAGTATGTAGAAATGAGGTCACTGATTTAAGTACACACTCCAATTGAATGACAGTCCCAGGATTTGGGTTTCCAGGTCACCCCTGGTGAACTTAGAGGTAGGATAACTGATTATTCAGGGAGCTCCAGCCCTTGACCCTCTCTGGTCACACGGTACTCTGGGTACTCCATGCTTTTGCATGGCCTCCCAGTGGCCAGCACTTCCTTATCTCTGGACTTGGCACTTAGCAAGGTCATCTGCTGCAGCCAATGGGCTGTGGGCAGCCATTAGGGGAGTAGAAGCTGGAAATGTGTTTGGGATAATGGGATGGACCCTCTGGTGCCTCTGCCTCCTGGGCACTCGGGTAGCTTCACCTTTCCAATCTGGGTTCCAGAATGAGACAGGTGGAGCAAAATCACCCCAACTGTCTGTAAATGTGCTATGCTAATAGTTGTATAACCCCGAGAGTCTGCGTGTGCAGCAGGATCGTGAAAAAAGGTGACTGATATTGGGAGACAGAGGAGAGCCTGATACTCACCCTTCACAAGCACTGAGGTGCCCTCATCCAGGTCCACTTTTGAGTTCTTACTCAAGTCATCAAACTGCATGCAGTGGTAGGTGCCAGCCTGCTCCTTGGTGACATTGTGAAAATAGATGGAATAGTCGCAATTATGTGGCTCCAGTGTCCGCTGGATCAAGGGTGTCACTCCCGGGAAGAAGCCATGTTTGAAGTTGTAAGTCTCCTGCTGGCGCTGATCGCTCACCTTGACCCATTTGATCATGTCATCGACGCAGGAGCCGGCCACAGAACACCGCAGCAGGAGCGACTCACCCTCCTGAACCAGCATGGGGCCCTCAGGCTGTAGCACCTGCCCCTCGCTGCTGGTCTCGAGGCTCTGTTCACAGGCTCCTGCGAAAGAAGAGGGTCTCATGCAGGGCAGGAAGGACGGGAGCTCTCCAGGCAAGCTGAACATAGTTCTTCAGTTACTAGTTAGCCAAGCACAATTATTCAGGACACTGAAGGTTGTGTTGGACAAGGAAAGAGATAAGGTGGTTCAGTGCAAGGATTCACAGTGAAACTGTGTGGAGCAGTGTTGCAGAGCCAGGCATCCTGGCAAGAGTCTAGCTGTGTGGTTGCCTAATTCCCGGGCTCTCTGTGCATGGGGGAGAAGGGGAAGAGGTACTGGGGATAAGAATGAGGAACACCTACCTTCCAGCATCATGTATGGGTTCAATGAGCTCACACCTGCCAGTGCCCAGCCCTGTGTCATATCACCTGTTGACTCTGAAAGACACTCAGTAACTGGGGTGGGGGTGGGGAGCTTAAGATAGAGCCCCCTACCCCAAGAAGAGCTAGAGAGACTAGGGCAGACTCCTAGATGCTCAGCCCTGCTCTGGCCATTCTTGAGAGCCAGCCCACCTGGTCCTATCACTTCTCTGACGCAGAAGCACAGATTTTAAAGAAATTAAAAGGATAATGAGATAATATTACTGACAAGTTGTACAAGTTCAATGAATATATATTGGACAACATGAACAAATTCCTTGAAAAACACAAACTACCAAACCTACTGCAAGAAGAAATAGATAATCTTGAAAGACCTATTATCTATCTATTTATAATATTTACTTTGCATTAAAAACCTTTCCACAGAAAAACTCAAAGCCCAGATGGCTTCACTAGTGAAATCTACCGTATGCTTAGATATAACACCCACATCATGATAAATTGGACTTCCTAAAAATTAAAAACTCCTGTTCAAAACTCCTGTTCTAGCCTGAAAAGACAGGCTAGAGGGTAGGAGAAAATCTTTGCAAAAGATATTATTTATAACAGATTGATAACCAGACTGTAACAAATACTCTCAAAACTCAAAAGAACACAGTTTTAAAATGGGAGTTGGGCACACACTTCACCAAAAAGAATGCACATGAAAGATATTCAACATCATTATGCATTTAGAAAATGCATATGGAAAACCCCAACAAGATATTACTACAAACCAACCAGAAGGACTACAAAAGATGAAAAAGATTGACAGTAGCAAGTGTCAGTAAGGATCTGGAGGAAAAATGTCATTCTCAGGCACTGTTGATGAAAAATAAAATGGTACAATTTGCGAGTGTCTTAAAATGTTAAACCACATGATCTAGTCATTTTATTCTTAGATTCCTTTCCAAGAGAAATGAAAGCATATGTTCACACCAGGGCTCACACGAATAGTTACAGGTGCTTTATTTCTAGTAATCCCAAGCCGAAAACAACGCAACTTTCTGTCAACAGGTGAATGAAAAAATGATGTGTGGTTTATCCATACACTAGATAAAAATGGGGGAAAAAACAAATGATTGATGCATGCAACAGGAATGAACCTAAAAATAATTATGCTGTGTAAAAGCAGACCCAGAGGCATACTGTCTGAACTTTGTTGTAAAGTGTTCTAGAGAATTCAAACTGTCTGCAGTGACAGAAAGCAGATAGGTGATTGCTTGAGGAGGAGGCAGAATGGAGGGGATGCATCACAAGGAATCTTTTATTTATTTTTTAATTTTATTTATTTTTGCACAGAAGAACTGCAGGCCAGAGGTGTGGTGTGTGCGGTGTGTGCGTGTGAGAGGATTTACCAGAGTCAGAGTGGGGAGCAGAACAGGTGGATTTATTGAAATGCACTGATAAGGGGCCTCCCCTGGTGGCGCAGCGGTTGATCGCTAGGCTGCGAAGCTGCCTGCAGCCTCTGCAGAGCCAGTTTGATCCCTGGCCGCTGGGCAAGGGCCCTACATGGCGCACACACCTCTCCTGCAGCGCCCGCTGCTCTCCTCAGCAGTGTCTCCTCAGCGGTCCTTCTGCCTGTTTTGCTCCCCGCTCTGGCTCTGGTGAATTCTCTCGCACTCCTGCACTTCTGACTGTACCCAGTGCTTGTTTAAATAAATAAATCAATCTTTAAAAAGAAAAAAAGAAATACACTGATAAGGGGAGCAGCAGGCAATCAGGAGAGGTCGGCAGGGATCCTGCACTTATTGGACCCAGCAGGGAACCTGCACCTACATAACCCAGCAGGGTGCCAGTACCTAGAGAATCCAGCAGTGAGTTGGCAACTACAGGGACCAGCAAGGAGCCATTACCTATAGAGACCAGCAGGGAGTTGCAAGCTACAAAACCAGCAAAGGGGCAGAAGGACCCAGTTGGATCTGGCACCTACTGAATCCAGCAGGGAGCCGGCACCTGTAGAGCCCAGTAGGGAGCCTGGGCCTACAGAACCCAGCAGGGGGCCTGAACATATAGAGCCCAGCAGGGGCCCAGCACCTCTAGGTCCAAGCTGGGAGCCAGTAAGTATAGTGTCCAGCAGGGAGTCAGTGATAACAGTGCTCAGCAGAAGAGGGCAATAAGAGTGCTTAGCAGGGAGCTTGCACCTATAGGGCCCAGCAGAGAGCCTGCATCCATAGGACACTACAAAGAGCCAGGACCTATAGGGCCCAGCAGGCACTGTGCAATTACAGTGCTCAGCAGGGAGCCGGCACCTACAGCACACAACAGGGAGACAACACCTACAGTGCCCAGCAGGGAGCCAAACCCTACAGAACCATCTGGGAGCTGGTAATTATAGTGCCCACAAGGGGGCCTCACCCACCTGGCCCAGAGGAAGCCTGTGCTACAGGGCACAGTAGGAAGCCCGCACCGAGAGGGCCCAGCAGGGAGCTGGCACTTGTAGGGCTCAGCTGGTGTCAACACATACAGAACCCAGAAGGGAGCCAGCACCTAAAGAACCAAGGTGGAGCGGGCAACAACAGAACCCAACAGGGACTCAGGATCCAACAGGAGACTTCACCTAGAGAACGCATCAGGGAGTTGGCACCAACAGAATGCAGCAGGGGCTGACAATATAAGACCCAGCAGGAACCTGGCACCCATAGGGCCCAGCAGGAAGCCTGCATTTATAGGGCATGGCAGGGCACTGGCCCCTTAATGAACTTCACCACCAGCCGGAACCTATAGGGCGAGTCTGAACCTATAGGGTCTAGCAGGGAGCTGAACCTTACAGGGCCTGGACAGGACCCCAACCACATGGGCAGGAGATGGGATGAGCCCACTGAGGGCCAGGCAACTTATCTGGTTGGTAAGAGTGCTCTGAGGCTGAGCTGTGCCCAGGAGCCCCAAGACTTGAGCTAAACTGACCTTGGTTTAGAAGAGACACAGGAATAACCATGTTAGCCAATAGTTGTTAAATTTACATTATGCCAGGTGCTTAGAGGTGTCATGTCAGTGAATCCCCCTAAAAGTCATGAAGTGGGCCCTATGATTGGATCACTTTAAAGAGAGGAAAACAGGCCCAGAGAGAAGATACTAAAAGTGATCGGAGGTGAGGTTCCAGCCTGTCTAGGGCTGAGCCAGCGCTGGCTGGTGGGTTTGGGATGGGTACGGTCGCCCAGGGCCAGGCTAAGCGGGCTCCCGTGCTGGCGTCAATTCTCTGCTCTGGCTGCTTTAAAATTCTTAAATGTTTTAAACAAAGAACCTGTGTTTTCACTTTGCACAGGACCGGCAAACTACACAGCCAGCCCTGGGCTGAGCCTCACCACTTTTATAGTTAATACAGCCCCGCTAGTGAAAGGTCCCATTAGCTCCCCAAAGAGCATGGTCTCCGACACGACCCTACAAGTGTCGGAACCTGAACCCACACTCCGGAAGCCCAGGGCCCAGAAGCTTAATTTCACTACATTCTCAAGAAGTCCTGCCTCTTGGGACACTGAGGTCCCAGGAGGTCCATGGAGGTCAGGAAGGCTCTCAACTGCCCTCTCACTTCATCCTGATGGTATTGCTAGGGCTCCCGCTACCTCTCTGGGGTCAGGCAGGGGGGGATCCTGTTCTGTCCCAGGTCCCACTCACCTGAGAGGAGGAGAAGCAGCTTTGGCAGCAGGGAGCAGAGGGCAGGGATGACTGTGGTGGGCATTGGGAGGGCAGCTCCCGCAGCTCCCAAGACTTGCCTTCCGTTCTGCCCTCTGGTGTGTGCAGGAACTGAGCTCGAATCAGTGGGCAAGGCTGTTTCTGCTTCTCTCAGACAAGGCTACTTGGGGGAAGTGTTTACAGTAAGACAAAGTGCTGATGCAAGAGGAAGGAGCCAGGGGTGTGTGTGTGTTTGTGTGTATGTGTGTGTGTGGGGGGGGGGTAGAGTGGGGGGGGTGTAGGGTAAATGGTTTTCAGGCTTTTCTGCCCTCCTGCCATGAGGATTGCCAGGCCTGATGTGGCACCTGCATTTTGTTACATTGTTACAGTTCTATTATTTACTTCTGTGGGCCATGGCAGCAGTATAGAGATATTGCCAGGAGAAACAGGGGCAAAATAACTCCAGAGAAGCCCAGAGTGAAGACTTGCCAGGGCTTAGAGGCCTACTGGCCTCCTGGCACCCCTGCCTGCCATGTACCTGGTTGCTGCACTATATGTAAAAGCTCAATAAAAGCCTGAGAAACCCACCGAGGGCTCCAGGACTCCTTTACCCGTCTGGTCTGCTCGAATCACAGAAACCTGCTCAGTGGCCTTCCTGGCACTACAGGGTGGGATTCTGCATAACTATCCCCACAGCGGTTCCTATAATCACTCTGTCAAAATCATAATGTCTCCTTGCCACAGGCGCTGTCCTCAGGCTCTGGAGGGGAGATGAGGGCTGTCACCGTTTGCCTGGAGCTGGCTGGACTTAGGATGGAGTTTGGGTCTGCTGGCTGGGTGCCCTCTCAGTCACTTGGCCTGGCTGAGCCTTGTTTTCCTCATCTGCAAAACGGGGACAGCAGTAATCTCCACCCCCTGCCCCTGTTGTGGTCATTACCTGAAGCATGTGTGTGAGGGCTCCATGTGAGGTGGATGTGAGCATATTAGATGCACTTTTTTTTTTAAAGATTTATTTATTTATACAAGAACTGGGGTACAGGCCAGATGCACGGGAGGGTGAGAGGATTCACCAGAGACAGAGTGGGGAACAGAACAGGCAGACTGACTGAAATATACTGCTGAGGGGAGCAGTGGAGAGACAGGAGAGGTCTGCTGCGCCACGTGGGACTCTCACCTGCTGGCAGGGATCCTACCGGTGCTGCAGAGGCTGCAGACAGATTCACAGCGCTGCACTCAACCACTTACACCACCAGGGGAGGCCCTAGGTGCACATATTGACCATCATTGTTCATGAAATGTAGGAATTTGCAGAGGTGACATTAGCCTAAGAAGAAAGACTTACTACAAAACAAGCCCCCAGGCCTCCTTTTTGGCTTTGCAGGGAGGGCACGGCCCCCATTCCTAAAAGTATAATCATGGTAACTCTCCAAGCCTCTATTTCTTGGGATTCAAATGAAACACACTGAGGTTGTGCAAAAACTTGTGTTTGTGACATCTTGATTTTCTGTAACTGATCAAAACTCCTCCGCAGCTCCCATAAGGCTGACTATCAATTTAGAGGAAGTGCTGAAATTTGCCAGTTCAAGCAACCCAGTCTCCCCCGGTTCTGATGGCCTGTTTAGCTGTGTTGTCTGGCTTCAAGTCTTGGCTTTATCTGTTTCTGACTGTGTGGCCTTAGGACAATCATTTGAGCACATTGTGCTTCAGCTTTCTGATCTGTCAAATAGTTATAAAAATGCAGTGCACGTAGGGGTGGAGCCCCTGTAACCACCACCATTCTGTTTTAGGTCAACACCGTCTTTTCTAGGCTAGGAAAATATTGATCAAAGGCCAGGTGTTCAGGACTTCCCTTGTCCTTCCTATTCCACATGGTCCTGAAATAGGAAGTTGAGGTTGTGGGGACAGAAGAAGCTGACTTTTCACCCTGGGGCAGGAGGGAAGATCTTGTGCTCTGGTCTGTCATAAGAAAATTGTATGGTTGGGTCCCTCAGCCCTTTGCCCTGGGTGTGCTGAGGTAGCACTGGTCCCGTCTGGCCCTTTGGACCTTGCTGGAAGTGCTGTTAGAACCTGCTGCTCCCTTTATTGTTCTTCTGTGGAGAAGACCAGATATTGGAGCCTCTCTGAATTGCCCATCTGCCTAGAAAACTCCTCCAGAACTCCGGCACCTCTGTGTCACTCTTGCAGGGAACTTCTGAATTATCTGTTGGCATGGATTCCTCACTTGGCTATTTCTTTTGATCTCAAATGTTGCTTCATTTTATTTATTGTAATAGGTAAGGCACTGCAGTGGTTAGCTATTATTATGTAACAAATCACCCCAAATGCAGTGGCTTAAAAGACGAACCAGCTATTTAATCTGTGATTCTGTGGGTTGGTCATTTCATTGGGCTTGGCTCCTTGATTCTTCTCATCTCAGCTGATTTTGACCAGGATTGCTCATGCACTCGAGATCAGGGGCGGGTTGACTAGGGAACTCCAGGGCTAACGGTCATCTGGGCCACTCAGCAACCGTCCATGTGGTCTCTCAGGGAGACTAGTCTGGGTGTGTTCACAGTAAAGGGACAGTCTTGAGACAGAGCGGAGGTTGCAAGTTACAGTGTCAGCTCTGCTATTCTTTTGGCCAAAGCAAGTCACAGGTCAGATTAGATTCAAAGGCTAGAAAGTAGACTTCACCTCTTCCTAGAAGGAGCTGCAAAGTCATACTGCAAAGGGCATGGCGATAGAGAAGGAGTGAAGAATTGTGGACATTTTGGTAGTTGATCTACCATGGGCCTCCATAATATTCAGGAGTCATAGGATTCAAAGTCTTTTCTAGGGCTCCCAGATATTACCTTCCTGAGGGTTCACCAGTCACCAGTTTCTGGAAAGTCAACCCCCTCACTATTTCTGACTTGTTGCTCAGAAGCAAGGCTGGGCATTGAACTTTGGGGTGATCTATGGCCTCCTGGACAATCTAGGAAACCAGGACATGGTGCCTCTGTTCTAAGAACCTCTAAACCCACCTGAGGTTTCTCTTCTCCATACCCATCCTCCCCCAGAGTGGGGGAGTGCCAGGACCCTGGCATCTCAACTCCTGGCATTCTCTCCCTTGTCTCTTGATATCCTTACTGAGCCATAAGGGGAAGTGTTCCCCTTCTTTCCTTCAGCCCTTTCCGGAACACAGATAGTGAATAGTAGCTATTTTCCACAGCTTCCCACCTTACTCTTGGGCTATATAAGGGCTCTGGTTCTTGGGGTGCATCCCAGGGATGGACCCCAAACCCTGTCCCCACACCCAGATGCTTTCAGGTATTGCAGCCTAGCAGAATATCATTTTACACAGCTCACTAGATTCATCACCCAGTCTGTGGAAGAAGCCCTTGTTTGGGCCTCTCCACAGCCACATCCCCCTCTTCCTTGCTAACAGACCCTTCCACTTCTGCTCAGCAGTGGGTTTCAGCGGAACCTCAGCCCCAGGAGACAGATCATCCCTAGGGCCAGGTATGATGGCCCCACCCCTGGCTGATGTTTGGTAGAGCCATTGGTCAAAGCTGGGACATGGGTTGAAATTCTAACCAATCAGAAGTGAGGGGAAGTTGGCTAGAGGCTTCTGGGGGGGAAAAAGTCCCCAAGTTCACTGCCTCAGTGTGTAGATAGTGGACTGGTGAGAAACCTATCGGGTAAATCAAGTAACTACCATTTTACGAAGCATCAGGGGGCCTCCCTGGTGGCACAAGGCGTTAACCCACAACCTTTGAAGCTATTTGCAGTCACTGCAGCAGGAGTTCGATCCCTGGCCAGAGAGCTACCTACATGGCTGTAGGATAAATGGTTTTTTCAGGCTTTTCTGCCCTCCCACCATTAGGATTGCCTTCCCTGATGGGGCACCCTTAATTGTTGCATTGTTGCAAACTATCTTATTTACTTCCGTGGGCCATGGGAGGAGTATTGAGACAGTCACCAAGAGAAGCCGAAGCAGGAAAAGAAGCAGGAGAGAGGCAGGAGAGGCAGGAGAGAGAGGGGGAGAAAGAGGCCAGGGAAGCCCAGAGTGAAGACTTGCCGGGGGCTTGGAGGCCTACTGGCCTCCTGGCTCCCTGGCACTCCTGCCTGTCATTGTACCTGGTTGCTGCGATGCATGTAAAGCTCAATAAAAGCCTGAGGTCACCGAGGGCTCCAAGACTCTCCTTTACCCATCTGCCGGATCATAGACAACCTGCTCAGTGCCCATCCTGGCACTACAGTGGCACAGCAGACCTCTCCTGACTTGCCTACTGCTCCCCTCAGCAGTGCATTGAAGTCGATCTGCCTGTTCTCCCCCCACTCTGTCTCTGTTGAATCCTCTCACCCCCCACACCTCTGGCCTGTACCCCAGTTCTTGTATTCGTAAATAAATAAATCTTTAAAAAAATTAAAAAAATGAAAAGCATCAGGGACACTATCATAAGCAGGGGATTCAGAATTAGGTTCTGAGAACCAAGGGATAAATCCTGCGGACTAAACTTGCTCCCTGCACCTTTTCTTCCATCCTTCCTACCTGAGATCAATTGCATTAGGACATCTGGGATAAAATGAGGTCTCCAAATGGTTTTTATGCAGCTCATGATTATCTCTATTCCTTGTTTCGGTAATGGTGGAATGGTGGATATCTGTTGGAATGGATTTCTACCCACAAATAAAATTGGCGTTAATTAAAAAAAAAGAAAAAAGGAAACCATACAATAGCCTCACGCTGCTGTAACTTCGTCATGTCTTTTATTTCACAACTTTATTGAGATATCCACCCGGCATAAAATCGACCCCACAAAGTGTACAATTCGGTGGTTTTTAGTATAAACAGAGTTGAAGCTTCTGACATGCAGTTACAAAACGGGCCTGTTGGTGTCACTGCAGAGCTCTGCAGGCCGGTTTCCTTCCTTCCTTCCTTCCTTCCTTCCTTCCTTCCTTCCTTCCTTCCTTCCTTCCTTCCTTCCTTCCTTCCTTCCTTCCTTCCTTCCTTCCTTCCTTCCTTCCTTCCTTCCTTCCTTCCTTCCTTCCTTCCTTCCTTCCTTCCTTCCTTCCTTCCTTCCTTCCTTCCTTCCTTCCTTCCTTCCTTCCTTCCTTCCTTCCTTCCTTCCTTCCTTCCTTCCTTCCTTCCTTCCTTCCTTCCCTCCCTCCCTCCCCCCTTCCCTCCCTCCCTGGGGTCCAGGCCAGAGGTGCAGGGGGAGAGGGGGGAGAGGACTCACCGGAGACAGAGTGGGGAACAGAACAGGCAGATAGAAACACACTGCTGAGGGCAGCAGCGGGCGAGACAGGAGAGGTCTGCCGTGCCATGTGGGTTGCTCCCTGCCTGGCAGGGGATCGAACTTGTGCTGCAGAGGCTGCGATTGCCTCATAGTGTGGTGCCCAACCCCTTGCGCCACCAGGGAGGTCCCTGCAGGCGGGTTTTCACTGTTTTTCCCTCACTTGTGCGTTTCCTTGAGGCCATCTGGGCACCAGATAAATGTAACCATCTGCTCGAGACTTCCACAGCAGAAACAGAGGCTAATGCGCCTTAGAGTTTCAACAGCTGTGATCCAGGAAAATGATGCAAGTTTGGAAAAATGCAGGCTCCCTGGGAGGACCCCCTTCTCACCTCTCCACTCTAGTTACTTGCTGGTGTTATAGGACAGCCCCGATATTGAACGGGTTCCTGGCTGGGGGTCTTCACCCGCGCGCTTACAAGAGACTTATGAATACTCCACTACAGGCATGCACAAAAGGTTAATAAAAGGTTTATTTACAAGGGAAAAGGAAATAAGGAAATGTACAACTCAGGGAGAAAATAGGAAAATAAAGTCTTTAATGCGTCCTACCCGATCCGCCGACCTGGAAACCCAAAGGCACTCTCAGAGCTGGCCGGATGCTGCTAGCTGGTGGAGAGCCAAAATGGGGGACCCCCCCCCCAAAGCCCACGTGTCTGTCTTTATACTCACTTGGCTGCTTAACCCCACCCTCAGGTCTCAGCCACCTTCCCTTGGGTGGTGATGGGATTTGGAGTTCCCAGTGTCTTTGGCTTTGGCCTGGGGTGGGGGTGGAGTCCACAAAGCCTATATGGAATTAGCTTTAGGACATCCTTTTCCCCCTAACACTGGGACTAGACAATCTTGCCCGATGGGCGAGATGAGGGAAATGGAATGAACCAACCCCAGAGGGGACCTGAGAAGCGTCCCACAACCCACTCCTGGCACCCAAACTCAAATGGAGGGATTGGAGAGTCAGGAGGATTTGCACCTGCCTTCCTGGTGACAGGCTTGCTGAGTTCCTGCCCCAGCATGGCCTGGGAACTGTGTGTGCTGTGCATGGTGAAAGGACGTAAGAACTCCCCCGCTTTAGAGCATGACCCGAGGTCCAGAGCAGCCAGGTATTCTGGTGTGCTTAGATGATTGTGGACAAAGCCGGAAGCAAGTGGACACAGGGAAGCTCTGAGATCAGGAACGGGTTAATGCTGTTGGCACCTTTGTGACCCTCCTCAAGGGCAGCACAACGCAACAAACATCTAAGCAGATGGGCACATGCCCCAATGTCACAAAGACCATTACACAGACATCACACCATTGGGAGACAGGGATTTGCAGATTTGCTGAAGAGTTCCTGAATTGGCCAAGATTAAATCCTTGGCCTGGATTAAATCCATGGAAAGGGTCCTCAAAGTGGAAATTCTGTTAAATCATGGAAAATTTTAAAAAATGCAATATTTTGGGGCTTCCCTGGTGGCCTAGGGATTAAGTCTCAGCACTACTACAGTGAGGGCCCTCCTGCTGCAAAGCAGCCTGAGTTTGATCCCCAGCCATGTTTCTGACCCACATGGCGCAGCAGACCTCTCCTGTCTCACCCGCTGCTCCCCTCAGTAGTGTGTTTCACTCAGTCTGTCTGGTCTGTTCCCCTCTCTGTCTCTGGTGAATCCCCTCACACCTGATACCTCTGGCCTGCACCCCAGTTCTTCTATGCAAAAATAAATAAAAAATAAAAATCTTACAGTAAAGGTATAATTCTTTAAAATTTTTTTTAAAACAATAGAGTACTTTGGACATCTGATTGGTGACTTGACAATTGCACTGTTTTATCTTGATTGGTCATACAGTTCTCCAAGTCACAACTTCCCCATCTGTAAATGGGAGTTGGGAGGAAAGGTAAACCAGGTGGTGTCAAGAGGTTTCCCAGGTCAGATCGACCACAATGCTAAAGTCTCTGATTCTTTTAGTGACTTCACTTCCCATCATGAAAGTTTTTCTAATATGTCAGTCTCTTTGTACTCCTCGCCCCGATCTCCATGAGAGTGCTGAGAATCTCCAGGAGAGCCCAGGGTGACAGGGGATCAGAGAGCTATTCCCAACTCTGCAGCGATCATATGAAAACACAAAAGAAAAGTATACCTAAAACCAGGCTCTACAATCCTTCACAAATGAAGACATTTTGTCTTTCTGCTTTCCTTTTCCATCCACGCTTATATAAGAACCCCTTTTGTACCAGAGCCCGGAGACTGCATTGTATCCAAGGGCTTTTGGGAGGCAAGAAGGCTGGAACAGGAAAATATGGCTATTTTAGTCCTGCTGATGGGCTGCCCTGGCAACCAGCTTTACAGACCAAATGACTCTAAAAATATCTCCCCAGCTCCGACCCCTCTTCTGAACTAGAGACTTAGAGTCCGTCTGCCTACTCAAAATCTGCACTTGGAAGATGAACATTATTACACGAAACATCTTCAAAACTGAACCCATAGTTCCCATCATGAAACCTGTTCTTTACCCATCTCCCCACCTTATTCATTGCTCAACCTAGTCCCAAAGCCACCCCCAGTTCCCCTCTCTCCATTACCTTACACATTCAGTTCTCAAATATGTCCCATCATTTCTGTTTTAAATACCCCTCACATTAGTTAATCTCTCCCTCTGCTTGTACCCCATAGCTCAAGCCACCCTCATTGCTGGTTTGCTGTAGTAATCTCATATCTGAACTATCTGATTATTTCTTTCTTCTAATTTGTTTACCTCGTAGGATTTCTAACAATGTAAATCAGACCTCATAATTTACCCAGAGAATGAAAGGAAAACTCTTTACTCTTTCCATTCTTCCTTGGGTAAAGGGCAGGTGCCCCCACGCTGTTAGCCCTGTGCATTGACTCCTGCCGGATCTGTACGTGTTCCATGTCCCATTACTCTCAGCTACCACCGACCCCTTCCTTGAATTTTCAAATTCCTTCAGACTTTAGGTCTTGCCACGGTGGGTTCCTTGTAACAAGAGTGTTTTTCCCCAGTCTCTTGACTATTTCAGATATCAGCTTTTTTTTTTTTTTTGAGATTTTATTTATTTAATTTTGCATAGAAGAACTGAGGTGTAGGCCAGAGGTGTGTGTGTGTGTGTAGGGGGTGGTGTGTGAAAGGATTCACCAGAGACAGAGTGGGGAGCAGAATAGGCAGATCAACTGAAATACACTGCTGAGGGGAGCAGCAGGTGAGATAGGAGAGGTCTGCTGTGCCATGTGGGTCAGCCCCCTGGCCAGGGATCAAACTCATGCCATAGTGGTGATAGCGTTGAGACTTAACCCCTGGGCCACTAGGGAGGCCCTCAGATATCAGCTTAAATAGTTCCTTTTAAGAAAGGTTTTCTCTACTATTCCTTCCAGATCGCAGTTACTTAATTCCTGATCCCCCTGGAGAAATCTACCATTGCGATCTGCATTACTTGTGTACTATTTTATTTTCTTTAGTTCACTCACTCCATTTTTGTTTCTCCTTTTTTCTCCCACCCTACTTTTTTCCCTCCCTCCCTCCCTCTGTATGTTTTGGGGGAGTACATTCACACCGCTTCAGATGTATATTACACATCTTACCAATGACTAAAAAACTCAAAAAATGCATTGCCACAGCCCATTGGGCTCCTCCCCGCTTTGCTTGCCACCCTCACACACCCCCTCTAGTAGCAGCAGTTCTTCAGTTATATTTCTAGGGATTTTGGTTTAGTTTTGCCTGTTCCTTTGCTTTGTTTCTCTGTATTCTGCACGAGTGAAATTATCCAGCATTTGTCTTTTTGACTTTTTTCACTTAGCATAATCCCCTCTGGTTCTGTAGATGTTTGGATTGTTCTTAGTTTTGCTAATTTTAAATCATGCTGCCATGTATATATTTGCACATATGTTCTGGTGCACATGTGCAAGAAGTTCTTTTGGGTACAGAACAAGTAGAAATGCCAAGTCATGGGGTAAGTGAATGTTCAACTTATAATTTTCCACTGTTTTCCAGAGTGTGTGTCAGCAATGTAAGAATAGCCAGTGGCTTCGTTATTTTTGCTATTTGATTTGGGACCGATGACATTTCAGAGTAGTTTTGCTTTGACTTTTTGAGATTAGTAATGAGTTTGGACACCAACTCATTGGTTTATTGGCCATCAGTGTTTTCTTTAATGTATTTTTATTTGATGTGGCTGTAAAGACTTTGTGGAAGAGCTTGGTACCCAGATTGGGCTTTCCGTGAGGAAGGGGCCTTCAGAATTGCAGGTTTATGCTTCTCCCTGGATCAGAACCTGTCCTGCCTCTGCTGGGTTTCATGTTCAGGGTCACACTGTCCACAGAAGCTTCATTCCTGGATAGGACATGAGAGCCAGTCTCTTACTTCTTACCTTCTCAGTCTACGAACCCACCTTCTCTGGGGCTGAAAACGAAAGGAAGGGAGAGCTGGGTTGGATAGGTTTCAAAAGGCTGATGAGACAGGAGAAGCCCGCAGATGGCCCTAGGGGCCCTGGCAAGTCATCGTCCTGCGTCAGTGTTCTTGAATAAGATGTAGGGCTGAGGGTCCTGTGCCCCTGAGGACGCAAGGATGGGGATTGATTCCCCGATTCTTCTCAGGTCTCTCCTTAGAGACCACCTCTTGTATTCCTTCCACACTAGCTCCCTCTTTCTCTCCTTCCCACAGGCTCTGCCTGTGCAGACCAGGGGAGCTTGCATCTCTGTGCATCCTCATCTGGGAGCTGAGACCCAGAGGGAAAGGTTGAGAAGATTAGCCTGCAACTTTTAGGGACACTCTGGATTCAACATGTCTTCAAGGTAGAGGAGAAATGGGAAGTCAGGGACTCATGACTTTCTCCTCATAGTGCCCCCTGTTGGCCTGGAGTCTCACTGCTGGGAGTCAACCCCTATCTGGCATCTTACCTGGAAGGGCGGCTCCGCCTGAGGACACAGAGGACTATCAATGCAGTTAGGGGAATAAACTTCCAGATAAGCAAGGTGAGGGCCCCGAAGAGGAAGCTGGATTCTCTGGCACCTGATGACAGAAAGATACCAGATGAATCTGGCTTCCTGTTTCCATTGCTTGACTCCCAGGCTGGTTCAGCCCCACCTCAGACTCAGGTACCAAGATACCACCTTGGTCGTGGAGGAAATCACCTCATTTCTCTGAGCCTCAGTCTCCTAGCTTTAAAAAGGGGAAGGATGACCTGTGCATTAGAACATTTTTTTTGTATCAAATGAGAGTACCTGAACATATTGATGCATACTTAGTAAAGTTCAATCTGAATGACTTTGAGGAGGGTGGGTGGGTGGGAATTAGGGAAAGATTTTTCATATTAACTTTAATATTCACAGGAATATCTGGTAAAATGGGTGCATTGTCAAGATCCAACTGTGTGAAGAAAGCAATGCTTACTGCCCCTTGGTACCTACTTTGAAGAGGTTGCCGTGATTGCTGTGCTATCTTATAGATGAAGAAGCTGAGTTTGAGAAAGGTGAAGTGACTTTCCTAAGGTCACACATCACCAGCTTCTTAGAGCCAGCATTTGAACTCAGCCTGTCTACCTGCAAGGCCAAGCCTGCACCTGCCTGGTCGTTCTACTTTTACTCACCCCAGCTCTCTTGCTCTTCTCTAAGCTCACTCAGTGGCATGCTGGTCTCGATCTGGTCCTCGTGCTGTACTCGGCAGGTCAACTGTGTTTTGTCCTTACACTCTGAGGAGGTGTTGACCAGGATAATACTGTCTTGGCTAAATGTGCCATCTGGGTTCTTGTTTGGGGTGAAGGCCTCACAGGTCTTGAAGCATCCAGTCCTTTCCAGCCAGGTGATTTGTTTGACTTCAGGGTAAAACCTTTGCACGTGGCAGATGAAGATAGTTACCTGGAGGCTTGGGACGTAGTGTGCCAGTATAGTCACTGTGGGCACAACTGACACAAGACCCTCCGTTACTTCCTTCGTACATGAAAAGATATTCAAGGAACACCCACACCTTTGTGAGCATTCTCTCGGCTTCGGGATTCAACATGAGCAGGATGGGCCAGGTCTGTCTCTATGCAGTCTCATCCAGTGTGTGTGTGTGTGGTGGACAGGAGCAAAAAGCATTCACATGATCTCCACAGGGGCCCTGAGAGCCTCATAGGGGCACCTGACCTGGTCTAGAGGTGAGGTAGGTTAGGGAAGAGTTTCTGGAGACCAAGACCTTTGAGAAGAAATGTGAAAGCTGATTAGCAGTTAACTACATGTGGCAGATTGTAGCTTCCAGAGGTGGTCACGCCAGTCCCAGGATGTTTGCTGCTCACCAACTAGGGGAGAGGCTACTTCTGCTCCTCTGGAACTTTAGTGGGACCATGTGACAGACTGATGGACAAAGTGCAGCAGAGATGACACTGAGTGACCTCTGAATTTTTGTGACTTCAACTGATCTATCTCTCTTGGGATACTCACCTTTGGAAAACAGCTGCCAAGTGAAGAGAAAGCCCAATATAGAAGTTTATGTATTTATGGTAGTTTTCTGTGTTCTATAGTTCTTTATGTTATGTATGGTGTTATGGTCAATAAAAGACTTTCAGATACAAAGTATGCTACATTCGGATGGCATTCTCCCTAGGAATTATCATGGAAATACAAATTTAGGAAGGAAAAAGACTGATACAAATTTACGATTACTAAAGAAAGTTTGTTGAGTTGGATGTAGTGGAAAGCAAATGTGTGTTTTTTTCCATTGAACATTTTCAGAGTGAGATAAGATTTGAAATATCCCAGGAGTTGGTTCCTTTGCAAATATTTAAGCATATGGTGAACAATTTTAGATACTAACTTGGAAATATATGATGAATTTCATAGTTCTTCACAATTATTTTAGGGTTATATGAACAACACTGCTTGAGATCACTGATGAACAAACTATAAGGAGTTGGTTCTTTTTTGTAGAGCAGTGATAAGCCTCTGAAGCATTTTAAGCAAAGGAAGGACATGGCCCGGTTTCCTTTATAAAATGTCCTTGGCAGCTGGGTGGCTGGGGAAAAACTGTTAAGGGCAGTGGTATATAGGAGGAAGAGGGCTGTTACATCCAGGTAAGAGGGTATGTGGGCTTGATCTTGGGTATTAGCCTGAGCATTCACATTAGAAAGAAATATATGGGTTTAAAAAAGAATTGGGAAGGAAACTGATAGAACTTGGTGCATGTTCTATCAATTGGATTGGGTAAGAACAGGCCTCTGGCTGCTGACTGGGTTGATGAAGAATCTCTTTGATATGGGAAAGGAAGAGGAGCCAAAGGTTTGGATAAAGTGGGAGAGCAGTGGGCCTCCCTGGTGGCCTAGGGGTTATGTCTCAGTGCTGTCACTGCGACAGCCCACCGTGGCAAATAAATTAGATTTCTATGTTTTCATCAATTGCAGAACTTTTTTCTTTTCCTTCATAACAACTGGTGTAAGTCATAACCATCCAGTTGTTTGCATCAAGGCTGATCACGTTTACTGAGGCAGAGCCAGGTCTGTTTATCCCAGGCACCTAGAATAATCTACCACCTACTGGATGCCCAATAAACACTTGTTGAATGAATGAACTCTACCTCTCAAATACATTAAAGCACCAGAAAGAGAAGGGCCTGATCATGGCATCATGTAGGAAGCAAATGGTCATATAAGACAGGAGCCTCGAGTCCTCCCCCTCAATGGGGTTTGGCGAATAAATAGGAGGATGCAGGTAAAATGCTCCAACAGGGATCATGTGGGGGTTATAAAGAGATGGTCATGTGGGTGGATGAGTGAGTGGGGGCCACTTACCTTTGAGGAATTTGGAGATGTTCACATGCCCACTGAGGGGACTTGGCAATTCATTGTGAGACACCTGACAGGTGATCTGGGAGTGGAGTGATGAGAAGGCGAGTGTCACCAGGACAGTGCTGACGATGTTGTAGGAGGAAGCATTTCCCCGTGGCATGATGATCGTCTCCAAGGCTAGAATCTCCACTCCATTTTCAAACCATTTCAGGGATATGTTTTTGGGAAAGAAGCCCTTTGACATGCAGGTGAGCTTCACTACCTGACCTGGGCTGGCTCTGAGGGAGGGACCAGAAACCTCTGGAAGAGAGGGCTTACCTTCGATCAAGGGGAGGTGGAGAGAAAAGAAAGAAATAAAGGTGGCAAATTATTCTCTAGTACAATCTCCACCCTATGGTTCCCCCAACTAGATGTATTACCTGCTCTTTCATTTATGCTTTCTCCTTTCATTAATTATATTATGACTCTTCTTACACACCAAATTTTCAACTGGCCTCACTGTCTTTCCTTCACAAAACACCAGACAGACCATGGTGATGATGCTAAAATGCAGATTGGATCATGTCTTTTTTCCTTCCTTCCTGACCTCCGGGGATTCCCAAAGAACAGTGTTTCCAAACTCATATAACACATATAGTGAAAAACATCATGACTCTAAATTCCTCTTCTTCAAAACTGCAGACATTTTCCAGTACCTAGTGGAGTACTCAAGATTTTTGGGGTTCTCACTCACCTCTGCTATTCTACTCTAAAAACTATAATCATCTTAGCCTTGGACATTCAGCACCTTCTTATCAATTTGGAGACTTCCATGGTCCACCCCAGTCATATTTTCCTGCCTGCTGGCCTGGGAGCTTTCTCAGAGAGTAGCTAGAGGCTATCTTGGGTCTCGCTTCGTCTGTTTCTCATCTCTCAGATATCTTTGTTCTTTGTTGCCTGATGGCCAGTGTCTTGTCAGCTGTCACGCATGTAGTTTTTCCAGATTTTAGTGGGGAGGATTAACCTAGTCCCTACCATTGTTTTGGTAGATATTGCCCTAAATATTTAATATAATTTAATTTTTTTAATCTTATACATGTTCTTCTTTTTGATCACATCTTCTAACTTGTTTTTGTTTGTGTATATGTATATGAAATTTATTAGTTTCTTTGCTGATTTCATAACTTGCTGCATTATTGTCTTATTGTTTATAATAGCTTAATGTTGACTATTTAAGTTTTCCAGATATTATTATATCTATAGAGAAAAATAGTTTTCACATTTCTTTTATAATTTCATGGGCTATGTTATATAATAATTCAATATTCTAGAAATTCTTTTTGTGATGATCTGAGCTTTCAGTCCTTCTGTTTGGAACTGCCCACCGACACTGCTATGCTGCACGTCTACTATCCAGGGTCTTCAATACCCTAGTCTTGATTTCTCTGTTTAACCTCTATTTTGGTAAAGCATAAAGTGTTCATGAAAGATAATTCTTGGGGTTATTGCAAAGTTGACAGATTTGGTATAGAATTTTAAGTAAGAAATCACTTTCCTAAGAATTTTGAAGACACTTGCTTGTGGTTTAGGGTCCAATTTTTCCCTTAGACAGCTCATGCTGATCTCACCACAGTGCTTCAAGTACAACTTGCTTCTATTTTTAATTCTTGAAAATCTTTTTGTTCCCAAAGACTGCACACCATTGTCTTTAATTTCTCAGGTCCCTAAGGTGCTGGCATTTAAAGATTCAAAAATTCTGTTGCTGTACGTTTCCATGGTTCTTGTAAAGTATGTTATCATACTCACGTTTGGTTTTTTTCTTTTTTTGTTTTTAACAGAAAGAACATTAAACCCATAAATACATCAATACTGAAAAGCTTAAACTAACTCCTCTGCTTCCCAGTTTCCCCTTAATGATGCTATTTGGAGTCTTGCACACTTTGACTTCTGCTATGATTCTGTCGGTCAGGACCATATCAAGAATACAGGACTTATAGAGGTCAAGGTCAAATTTAAGAAATGTAAGGATCAAGTACATTAATTTTGAAATTTCCTATCTTGATGATTTTATCATTCTTGTTTCTGTGGTTCCATGCTGTTAAGATTATGTTTTTAAATCTGACTGGTTTTAATACCCTGAATACTGACAGTATTCACTAACATAACATTATTAGGTTACAGGTGCCTACTAAGTGCTTTTATAAATTAATTACATTTGAAGCATCACAACAAGTCTACTAGGTGAGCACTATTATTACTATTTACAGATGGGGAAACTGAGGGCACAAGAATTTAAGAAATCAACTAAAGTCCCAAAATTTATAAATGGGAGTCAGAAATGGAACCCATGCCATTTGACCCTAAGTTCTGTATTTTTAAGCACTTGGGTCTGTATTTTTAACCATTTTTAACTCCTCCCTATGTTGTAGTCTTTGGAAGATGAAAGATTCTAAAACATTAGGATTTTACTGATATATGGCCCTGGGATTACATTTCACTCTACTCCTCCATTATCACTTCTCACTGTCCATACGGTCTACTGTCAGTCCTGAAACAAGGG